AATAATTTTCTATATCGCCATTCCACACCTGGTAATCAATATCTGAAGATCTCTGATTCGAAAGAGGATATTTGGAGCGCAACAGATTACCATTGTCTGCTCGCTGATACTAAACATAATACGAATGCTTCAAGATAGCATTTTCTTCCTGGGATAAAAGACTTCGCCAAAACTTAAGTTTAAAAACTATTTCTTTTCGATACACTGAATATAAATTTGCTCTTAAGTCAATTAACGCAACATGCACTCTATCTCTCTTCTGGCATAGTTAAATTTGATTTATAATAGTATCAACAATGAAAATATTATCTACAGTCTAAAAAAAAAATTCCTTACGAAAACAAGCTTGTTCTCCAGCAATAATATTTTCTTGTTGTGAACATGTAATTAGTCTACTGCAAATAATCTTGACAAGGATCTTACCCGCTACATCCAGGAGGGTAATGGGCCTCTAATGTAAGGAATTTCGGGATAACCTTTCTCAAACACAGACGGAATAGCACCATAGGACCAATGCTCGGGGTAAATACTTGTCATCAATATTGTATTGTATATTTTCAGTAATATCTTAATACAAAGAGGAGCATTTTCGAAGAATTCTATCGGTACTACATCAGACCCGGATGCCTTTCCAGATTTCATACATTCAATTGCAAAATCGATTTCATGTAAAGTAATATCTTTATCAAAATCACTGTGAGCATCCACAATATTTGTTACTTACTCTTTACAAAGAGAGTCAGTAAAGTCATCAACGTAGGAAAGAAATTCGGCAAATTCAATACGTTGCGTTGAAATATTTTTTTCAAAATGATTCATTTCATTTGTTTGTTGTTTTTCGCCGCACTCAGCAATATTCTAGCTATATGACGGCGGTCTGGAAATAATCGGAGTCTGGCCCTGACAATCCAGTGATAGACATCACACGTATTGATCCACGCAATTGAGATACGATGACATGCATAAACCAAGTCAGCCAGCCCGACCACACGATCCCATTAGTCGCCTCTTACGACAAGCATGGGTTACTGAAGACCAATTCTGACCCGCATCTTCTCGGGGTTAAGCTTTAGGTGTGTCGGTGATCTGATACCGTTCAATAACGGTGGAATAGCCACCGATTTTTCCACCAAAATTAGAAATAAAATAGAATTGTTAAACATACAGGTGTAGGTGCATCAACTTTTGCACAAACCAAGTGTAGCAGTAGTTTGTCTGATTAACGAGCAGAAACTCATCTTACAACTTACCACTATGTGGAACAGATAAACAACACAGTATTTGACCTATCATTTTAAAACCGTCTATGTATCATGTCTTTGAAAATCATTTTACAAGTTCAACACATAAGGAAGACATCGTTAATTTTGGGAACATAATGTTTCGGAGTGTATATTACTTACTCCTTCACCTGATGAAGGAGTAAATATTACTTCGAAACATTGTGTTCCTCATAATAAAGTTACCATCCATAAATTCTCTTCCTTACATGTATGTATCATCCGTGTATCACCTGGTTTCTACTTCGTTTTGAGGAAAGTTAATCCGTTTTCATAAGCACATCAAACCGAAATGTATTTTCATATATTCTGAATGCTAAATGCTAAACAGAGACTGTGATGGCCGCTGTTAACACTCAGCATTTCAGGCATTTACGGACGAACGCAAGTCCTTATTGTGTATGAATCAGATGAACTGAGGACCAAAATGGGGCTGAATCTAGAAAAAAAAGTGTATTCAGGCACCACTGGGAATTGCGTTCTCATACACTGCTCCCAATTCCGAAGACTATTGATAACTTATACAAATGATTTACACACATCAGGGAATATAAACATTTGTCAATGAATTTCTTATTGATTAATATAGAATAGGTCATGCACCCTTGCGGAAAAAATACAGTTTTAAGAACATATCCATGTAAAGCTTTATACTGTTAATGGACCTACCACCTACACCTCTTTAAATATAACACGAGCAAAAGGCTTATACGAGAATAGCTCCAGGTTAGATTGAACATACATCCGACATACTCGCACGACAGCATTTCTGAAGTGTACATGCACTGTACCAATATGGCGGCACTTTCTCGGCACCATTACCGACTTTTGCGACACTATCGCGCCACTTTCACGGCACTTTTGCGCCACTTACGCGAAACTTCGCGGCATAAGCGCGCAACTTTCGAGCATTTTCTAGCAACTTTCGCGGTATTATCGCGCCACTTTCGAGTCATTTTCGCGATACTTTCACGGCACTATCGCGAACGTATAGCGAAATAGTTTCGCAATACAGGGGAAGTGACTTTTGAAATCTAGTGTACTCATCTGTTTCATAATAACTGTAGTTTTCGATTGTGGTTCGGAAGCACTTCGGTGCATGATATCAGTAAGATTTAGTTCAAATTATTATGCCAAAGAGCTAAAAAATCTGCCTAAACATGCTCCACGTGCTCGGATCAAATCACTTTATTTTCTGTCCAGCGAGAAAATGGTAGTTGCTACCAACCAACATCCGATTTGACATGGACAGCGCGTACCCCCTGTCAAAGGTGCCATTTCCACAATGGTCTTGTTTGCCGTCTGCTAGTACTTTACAAATATGACACGCTTTAATTCCCTTGAAATCAAGTCCGAAAATGTTCTACATATACCTTTGATATGGTAAATATCGATAGTCAAAACGGTATGAATAATTCTCGAGAATTTCGGGTCAACAAAACATCACTCTAAAATTCGACACAGCATGATTGTCAACAACTTTGTGAAACAAGCAGTGAATTTTATATGGACTGGCTGGCTCAACATGAGAATGAGCAACAGGCTCCCATTCCCTTTTACGAACAACTGGTATCATCACTCTTTGATAGTGATTCATATACACATGCTCATGATTTAGTCGGAATCGCTCAATCGACGGCAGAGATTTTCACTACTGAATACATAAATCATAGCGCCTGATGTATTCGGGATTGCGATGTGACGACAATTATGAATATTTTGATTGCATTGATACAGAATCAAAATTGACATCAAAGTCCTTTTTGTTCCTCATAATGACACAGCAATGTACCACAATATTTTGCTTCATGATATATTATACATAATAACTGTTTATGTATAATACCTGAAAATGTTAGCTTTTATGTATAAACGCGTAAGGATCCGGGGTAGAATAGGTCTTCAGCAACCCATGCTTGCCGTAAAAGTCGACTAACGGGATCGGGTGGTCAGGCTTGCTGACTTGGTTAATGCATGTAATCTTGTTTTATTTGAGATTTTCTAAAATATATTCCACACTTTCAGAGGGATTTCAACATTACAATAATGTAAACGTATGCATTTATAGCCTCGTCTTTATGAAAGTGCGTCTACATCATGCTGCGTTGCTTGGTTTCTGTTCATTATATTCATTATACAGAGATCTAATCGTCTTCTGCTTTCATGAACTATCAGGAGTTGGAAAAGTACTACATATAAAAAAACCTTTTTAACTTGCTAGATAAGATAATTAAGATTGCAAATATATTGTTATGCGTAGCGCATGAGGCATCATGAAAAGAAAGTAACGACTTGCCAATTAACTGTTGATATCACGATTATGTAAGGTGGAGTTATAGAGTCGTAGATTTATTTAACAGACGACAGAAAGGAGAAACATATATTTTATTTATAACCAATCAGATCGATGGCTGTTTTGCAGTGCGGGGCGGATGGGGAACGGCACAGGTCGGATGGAGAACAACTATGTCTTTAAGACTGACTGACTGATAGAGGATGTTTTTAGAGAGATGAAATCAGTGTACGTCTTGTAGTGGTATTTACAGAGAACATTGTTAGACTCGTCCAGGAAAGAACTTGGCGTGTTGATCTGGTTACAAATCCCCAGGCGGCTAAGACCGCATGATTATGAACGTTAACGCCAGGCTCTTGAAACAATGTGTCAATTTCTGTCAAAATTGTGTTAGACGTATTATGATGCTCCAAGTGGTTCATATTAAACGTCCGGGGCAACACGCATACAAATTCAATAAAAGTGTTACTTGGAGACTGAGGTAGCGGCACCAAACTACGGGAGTGTTGCATATGCTCAATGAACTGGTCCCCTTGATGTTAACACTGAGGTGGGTCACTGAAGTACCGTCAGCTTTGGCTCTGTGTTTGCAGGGAGTAACAGATATTATGAAGCCTACATCTGACAGAAGAACAAAACATGTGACACATGTGATATCTCATTCGAGAGTGGAACGCCATACCTCGGCTGTCAACAGTGGCATAGAAAATAAAACGCCACACTCGACTATAGAAAGAAAGCCAAAGTTTAAGCTCTCTGTGGTCCCTACAACTTTAAGTACATTCTCTCAGTCTATTTCTAATGTGACGTCCACACAAACTTTGCACATCATAGTAATTGCAACTCTGCATTTTGTAACCCACAGCTGCCTGACGACAAAGACTCATCATAAGAAAGAAGTACTTTTCTATACATATTAGCTTCCGCACTGATACGGCCGTTACATCGGCTGTATGAATGAGAGGTGGTTATTGTGATTTCATACCTCTGATTGACCAATCACAATCGAGTAATTTCAAATATTTTATTTACACGTATTGTGTGTAAGCAAGCACCTCAACACCAATTGGACAACGAGCATTTATTCGCATGATATCAATCACTTAGGGTATGTATCGTTTGAGCTCGGAAACGTAACATTAATGTCTTACTCCCTTGTGTCCAGTCTGCATGGTATTTATAAACCAAAATGTAGACATATTCTAAAATAATTCTGAAATAAATCGTCTTTTCAGTTATGTTTTAAGTTACATCTGTTTATGTGCTGCCCCAAGTGTGAAACATGTCGCAAAAGATTACAACAGCGATATACATGACATACATGACTTAGCTAAGTGCAGTAACGTCATACGTTTTGCCTGGTGTTTATTGGGAAAACTATTGGTTTCAATAAATTGCGCATTTGAACACAAGCAACTCAAAATCAATTGTAGAGTGGGATTTTATTTTGCCTATTTTACACAAATAAGCAGCTCATCAGGAGCTGGGGTCAACAACAATATCGAAATCACTGTTTCTTCAAATATCACGTACATGTACATACATGAACGCGTGTACATAAAATCTTGACACATTTGACACAGTGCTACAAAATATGACGGCAGATTTGAATGTATGCATACACACAATGTGACAGTATATAGGCAGGCATATGTAGTAACATTACACCTAAGTACTTCAAATAGAATGAAAGTTTTGTCTAATGACAAACTGAAACCTGAAGTTAGCTCAAGGAACCCGCAACATATACGATTTAAGAAAGGTTAACGTTATGAGATTGTACAACTATATGACGACACACAGGGGACATAATTGAAGGGAAGGAGATAATTTGGCGAGACATAATAATCTTTCAGGAAATGAGATACTAGATACAGCAATAGAGGGCTAGAAACAGTACAGTTTCTGTGAAATGTGACTTGTTACATCATTATACTGGAGTTCCAAAGTAATAGTCCCCTGTCTGGTGGTACTTGGATGACCCCCCTCCCAACGACTGACTTCTATGACGTCGATTGTCAATATGTAACGATTTCAGAACCCGTGGATTGTATGATTTTGGATCAGAAACCATCTTAAGAAATAAACTCCTGCGAAGTCGTGCTCTCTGCATGTTGCATCTTTGGTTGTCGAAAATAAGCTCACTGTCAAATTCTGGAAACACTTCGTCATCCTCTTCACTGATGCTTTCAGAGCTTTCCTTCTCCGTGTCTCTGTTGCTGTCGCGCTGATACATCAGTAGATCTGTAGCAAAGCTCCGTATGACGTCCCATGCGAAATATATGTCTTTGTCATCAGCCATCTCAGCGCAAATGGCAAATCGGATGACATAGTGCTCGTTAATGAGAGCAGGCACCATGTGCAGCTTCCCAGAATCATTCACAACTTTGAGTAGTTTCTGTGTTACAGCATTGGGGCCCTGCAATGAAATTATGTCAGAGCCAGAGCGTTATAACAAACATTCGTCTGTAAAACATATATAGTGAGTGAAGGTTGTGCGAGGCTGTAAACATCAACATCACAGTTACACCGTGGCGTCCTGGAAACCATGCAGCCTGGGGCACAAAACTTATCTTCAGGCAATGACCCTTGCCGACACAATATTGGCCACTGTGCAAACCGTATCCCCATTTGGGTTTATATAGGGTCTTACTGGTACCGGGTATGTATTCTGTCCAGAGATGGGTAATTTACTAATCCAGAACCAGTTTTCGGTATTCTTTCAAAACTGTTACGGTTACGATTTCATGAAGAAATGTATTTGTGAAAAGATATCGCGATCACAAATTCAAATCTGGCTGCAGCAGAGATTTCTTATGAAGATTGTGAAGGTCTTGTCGCTTTAATTTACACTCGGGCCTAGAATCTCCAGAGAATGAAAGTTGCTGTTTAAGTCTTGTATATGGTTAAATGATATTTCTTGAGGGTTACGTTTTAAGTAGCCTATGATAAACTGTGTGTCGGAGAACTGGATCAATCAAATAGCGTCTTTCTGGAATGTGATTGAAGTGATTAATGTTTCCCCAAACTCTTAAAACAAACATTGGTTTTCACATATACTCCCGATACTATAATAGTAAATACAAACAGAGAAACACATTACCATAACCATTAGACATCTCTACTAAACGCAGAGACCATTGTACGAGTACGACTGTATCATGATCACGTGTTTATGAATTGCAATCAAATAGTGATGATACCCGGTTTTCGCGAAAAGGTGACACCTGTCACGGCAACATGCGTTGGCGAGTCACCATAATGAATACGACAAGACATGGTGCGGGTCAAAATGGGGAATTGCATCGGACATAATGTTTGTCACTGATGCGTCGAATTTGGAAATGCCATTTAGGTTTTTACCATAAAACTTTTTAAAAGCTTTACAAGGGCTTGAATGTTGTAACAACTTTGGAGCAAACGACAATTCAGTTATTGTATTTCTGTACGTGAAGCCAGTAACCCATGCAGAAGACATCAATAACATAGCAGCTTGGTACATCTATACTCAGAATATCAACAATAACTGTGCACTTTAACAAAGATTTAACTGACTTGTAAGTAATATACCAAGAAAATTTTATTGTTTAATATCTTCAACGTTACCGTCACCATACGTCCATGTTCCCACCTCTTCTGAATACAACTATTAAAGTTTTTGATAATAATAACGGACAATGACAGGACATGTAATAACGGTGCAATTCATTACACTGGACGTAAATACCGAACACGTACTCTTAATTCTCTGTAACATCTTCCCATATATTCGAACATTTTGACGAAGATACAAAAATTTGTTCCTACCCAACTTGTTGAAAAACACCTTCAAATCAACAAAAGCAACATATATTTACACTTTTTCTTACAATTATCTTTTTACACGGTGTAAATAAATTATCACTTGATCACTTGTTGCATATCCAACCCTTTCATTAACGGTAGCCCACCTCGGAATTCTCTTGATCAAAACACCAAAAATTTATTTTTCTAAATATTGACAGTAAGGTAATACCCCCATAATTTCCTCACTCCCATGAAGCGATACAATACCACCTGTTGACCAATGGCCTGGGAAAACAAAATAGTGCTAAAACTTTAAACAATAGAATTAATAAAATATTGTCTACTATAGTTAAATATATCCGCAGTCATCTTATCATAGTCTGTCCTATCCCTATATTTCTCATAGTCATTATCAATGATGATGTCCAATATCTTACACATTGTTTTGACAGTAAAAGCGTTCATTTTGGACAAATTGTACTGATGTGTACCCAAACTATTTCTATGGTCAAACACGTTTACAAACAAATCCCCATGCCTCGAAGAATGAATTTTGTCCTTGAATTTGTTGTGTGGAATAGTGGTGTACAAAGTTGAAAAATCAAAGGTATTGACGGAATTGAATTTGCTTCTTTTCGGAGATTGCAAACATTCAAGCAGATCCTTCGAATCTTGGGAATCCACGTGGTATTAACTCCATGTGTCTCAAATACTTTGTGCATGAAGAAAGTCCTTCCGTGATTGTATTTAAGATAATGCACACATATAATTGATACAATTTTCAGAACAACACACTACAGGCAATAATATATAATATACACATGTTAAATGGTGTTATTTTGTCTTCCTAAAATAGTAAAACACTTAAAAGCTGTTAAAACGTTTTGTTGGCGTAAAATAACCATGGACAGATTCATCCACGGAAGCAATGCCAAAATACTACATTTAACAGCTCGGACAGCTCATGGGTTAAGACAAATTAGTAGAAGCACCGTACACAACCGGTTGAGGGAGCACAACATCTGGCCCCGACAGCGATACACTCAACGTTCCTTCAATGTCACTGCCAGGCACGCCTAGCTTGGTGTATACAGCATTTGTGGTTCAGAAAACACGACTGGGGCAGTATACTATTCATAGATGAGTCCAGATTTCATCTGGATAGCTGTTTGTCCTACAAGGGTCTACTGGCATCCATACGTTATAGTGATGCCCGTGTTCCTCAATGTCGTCAGTTGTTAGGAATTGTAATAGTATGAGGTGGAACCTCATTGTTTATGCAACTTTGATTGGCGTACGCAAACGGGATGACATCATTGAAATATCATGTTTTACCCTGTGTGCAAATGCCGGGTTGCAGAAAGAAAATGCACGCCCATGTTTCACGTGTTGTAGCAAACTTATTGCAGCATAGGTTTCCTGCACCGCCATGGCCGACTGTTTCTCCAGACCTCTCCCCAATAAAATGTCTGGAATAAGATGGAACGACGCCTTCCAGGACAACATCCATCCGGTAACGTAAGCTCAGTTGGTACAATCTTTGACTGACAATTGGAACAACATCCCCAAGCTTTCCTCAATCATATGGTGTCTTCAATGCGCTGCCGCTGCCTCGCCTGTATGTACGCAAATGGTGGTCACATCCGATATTGACATTGTTATTAGAGTTGTTACACCACCAATCTTTTAGGGCGTGTTGCTCGCTCTGTCTACTGTGTACCAGGTGTGGGATGTTTCATGACTTTTTTTATGATAAAACTTTGATTAGACGAATGACCAACTTAAAATTTAACGTCGCATCGGCATTATTTCAGCCATATAGCGACATGTTCAATAACATAACATTTTACACCACTTCATATATGAAGCACAATTACTTTCCTCCGCGAGTATATATTTCTTGATATGTTTTAACACACAATGAAAACGTATAGTTATCGTTAACTCGAAATAAATAAGGTCAGTAAATATTTACTGGTGTGACAAAGAATGATAACTGTGTGACAAAATGAATGCTCGGTAGACACTGGCGGATGAAAGTTCCAGCAGCAACATGGAAGTTTACAGCACCAACCCAAGAACAAGAGGTGAGTATCTGATGTGACCACCATTTGCGCAAAGGCTAGAGAATAACGGCGACGCATTAAGTCACGAAGGCGGGTAAACGTGGGAAGCTGAGATGTTCCTTCGTTACTCTGAGGCTGAGGTGGTCGCCATCTTTGGACATGGAAAGGAACGTCATTGAGTGGCGGTTCGCGTCAGCACATACATCGGTTGAGCTAGACCCACATTTGTTCCATCAAGTTAAGGCATTGCATCAACAATTTTGTTATGTTTGTTGTTTAAGGCCAAACTCAGCAATATTCAAGCTATATGACGGCTGCAAAAACAAAGGATACGCGGAAGGATGGTGATGATGCACGGTTTGCCCCGATAAGGACGACAGTACCGCAGTCCTCCATTCATGAAAAGCTGAATCTTTGTTAGAGCACAGATGGATCTTGCATGGTTTCCAAGACCGCCTCTGTGGTCTAGTGGTAGAGCGCCCGCCTAGAGTGGGGAAGTTGGGGGGTTCGATCCCGAGCCGCGTCAAACCTAAAGACGATAAAATATGGTACTTGATTTTACCCTGCCTGGTACTCTCCATTAAGGGGATTAGATAAGTCCTGGTCGGCTCAGAGTCTATATAAGTGCAATAATCTTGAACGCGACGTAAAACCCAATTTCACCTCACCTCCATGGTTTCCAATGACATTCGTTGCTGTTCTTGCTGCAAGCGATAATAATTTAGGTGGTGGCGAAGCATGAAGCAGAGCAGACGGCGTCGGTATGGCCAGCGGTTTTTTGCTGAACGTAAAATAGTTTGCGACGGCTTTCCTCTGCTCTAATCTCAAGCGTTCTTTAACAGGCGTCATATTGCCTTTTATGCATCCACTTTCTAGCATTCCTCAATACACAGTGCAACTTAATTTTATTTTGTGTGTCCACTTTGACAAATAGTTAAACCAATCGAATATGACTTTTAAAAGTGAGTCAGTGTATAAGCGTTTTTCAATAACAATAGATTCTGCAGATCGTAGAGAGTCAACCAACATATTCCAGTCGCGGACAGCAAATGGAGAGTTGGGCATATAAAAGTTAAAGACAGATGTCGTGCGCGTGGATCAATGCTCATAATGTCAGTCACTGGATTGTCGGATCCAGGCTCGATTATTTACAGACCGCCGTCATATTGCTGGAATATTGCTGAGTGCGGCGTTAAACAACAAACAAACAAACAATCTGGTCAAGTTGAGTTAGAAAGTAGAAAAGGGAACTCACTATTGTTGCAGGCGTAGGCATATTATTATCTCAATGGGATATACGTCTATTTAGTCTGAATTAGTCCATATTTCAGAAGCAATTTCAAATCAGCGCGAATGACGTAATTTAATATTAGGAGTAAAACAATACTTGGTCAACACTGAGAAGCACATAACAACACCAATGTACCTGCAATCGAAAGCAAACTAAACCCATCGTCACATCACCCATTATTTCAAAACGATCGTCAGTCTCCACCAACTTCTTAAACAGCTTTGCAAGACGTACATGCTGGAACACAATATACACACGTGATACATATATGTACATGTACATGAGACATTGGACAAACTATAGTGTCACGGTACTGTAGCTCACCTGGATAGCAGTTTGAAATCGTAACAATGAATGACACTTATCTAACCGTGCTTTCATTGATATTCAATTATTTTTTAAAGGAAAACACACATATGGCGTCATCACTGAGAAACATGCATGCCAAAGTTCAGCTTTCTCAGTCTGGCAATTGGGAGAAGGTGAGATAAAATACATGTTGTCCCTTGAGAATCTTTATTTTTGTTGCAAAAACAACATTTGTAACCGTAACAAACTCAACAAATACCAAATTTCATCACGTGGTTTATGAGAAGATTTACAGTGCGAGGAATTGAAATATTGAGATGGTCGTTTTCTAATGCAGCATGGATTCAGCATTATAAACTGTCACAAGAGATAGACACTTCACACAATTTGCTGTGAGCATTGATATTCAAATATTTCTGCTAATATTGAGGAGGAAAAGTTTTGACAAAATGTTTTTCAATTTCAACAATAGTTTGAAAGATCTGATAGAATGCCATATTAAAATTAACAGCAAAATTTACGTTGCACAAAATTTAAATTCTTATTTTGTAAATGTCTTCTCAGTATATCAATTTAACGAAAACAACGTACATGTTATGGTGACAAACATCAACATAAGTATCAGCATATTCAAGTCAATTCAAAAATTCAATTCCAGTTCTTAATATTTTTTAGTTCACCATTATTTTGTTGATTTGATTGTATTCCAACCATTTTTGCTAGCAAACACCAATAATGATAAACAAAACTGATGCAGCAAAGTGTGTGTGTGTGTGTGTGTGTGTGTGGGGGGGGGGGGGGGGGGGGGGTGGCACAAATCATCTATGTTAACATCATTTTAGAATAGGCACTCTTAGAAAAAGGACCCGTGAAGATTCCGGGGTAGAATAGGTCTTCAGCAACCCATGCTTGCCGTAAAAGGTGACTATGCTTGTCGTAAAAGGCGACTAACGGGATCGGGTGGTCAGGCTCGCTGACTTGGTTGATGCATGTCATCGATCCCAATTGCGTGGATCGATGCTCATGATATTAATCACTGGATTGTCTGGTCCAGACTCGATTATTTACAGACCGCCGTCATATAGCAGGAATATTGCTGAGTGCGGATATAAACAACAAACCAACCAACCAACCAACCAACCAAACCAACCAATATCAGAAAAAGAAAACTTTACGTTTGCAACATTGTCTACGACACTGAAGTGAAATGTTGCCTTGAACCTACGTGAAACTACTTATTGCCGTTAATATTCATACAAAGTTTCAGCTTTCCAAGCATTGCGGTTTGAAAAACAATCCAACAAAATATGGAACATCAACTTTATCTCACAAGCAGTATCAGAGGAGGATATTTAAGCGCATGCTTAAAGTGCATGGCTCTTTCTTTTCAAAGGTTAGTGTGAGGTAAGAAGGATCATAGGGTCATGTGTCTTTTGTAACTAGTCTTTCACAAGAACGAGACCTCTCTTTAAAGGCTTAAAAGTCACTTAGTCTCACTCTGAAGGGCAAAACAAAAGGTATTTTGGCTTTGGCCGTGCAATTGGTAATTGGCACACTTGAGGGCACTTTTTGGGCTGCTTGAACTTGTTCGCTATTTATTCCTAGCCATAGGACTCTGAAACGTTGCCTGGACCACCCTGCAAATACCTCTCCTAATGCTGCTTGAACTGGTTAAGCTTCACAGGAGAAGATTACAATGTAAACAGAGCGGAAATTTATGAGAATTTATGGGCGTTGCTAAAGAATAAACGTCGCATCAAGGTCACAATTTATAATATCTCACTTCCCAGAAAATTTATGTTAGTCCCCAGCTAATAATAAAACTTCTTTACATGTGGATAAATATATATTGCCAAGCTATGACATTTATGGGGTTTTCAATATAACTGCTGTGGCGGACATTTTCCAAAAGGATTTGAACACTCTTGAAGAAGTTCAGGTATCGTCATTGGCGAATGCAAGCATGTGAAGTGGTTTCTGAGGAGAAGATCTGCAGACATAAACTCAAGAGACTTGATACTACAGAAGTGACTATCCAACTCACGGATCTGGTTTTCTCAACATTGGAGACCAAGATTTTGAAAACATAAATAGATCAGCCATATTGAAACCCCAATATCTTGATGCTTTAGCAAATGTTTATTAGTTGTGTAACCCCGCATTCAGCAGTATTCCAGCTATATGACGGCTCAACAAAACGCCAACCTTCCCGAGTAACTGCATCCTCACAACATTTAAGCTGAACCTATCCCTTCATTTAAGGGAAGAAGCCGAAAATGCAAACAAAATGTGAAATCTGACGACGGACAACTTGCGACTACATAAACTCAGATGACATTTCTGTCACTGAGTAATGGCAATATTTTTGTATTTTCCAATATGGCTGCTGCAACAAATCTGATACTACATATGGTGAACATATCACCCACAGACCTCTGACCCTTTTAAGTGGGTGGGGGTTGTTAAATTATTTTTATAAATCAATGATGGCTTCATGAATCCACTAAGCCATTACTGAGAGGAAAATGTAAAGAGTTCAGAGAGGCCGCCGACGGACAATTTGTAACGACAGAAGCTCAAATAGCATGTCAGGCCACGTGAGTTAAACTAAATTGTCAAGTCGCAGTGTCGAGGTCAGTGAAGAAGTATGAATGTTTATTGGTAAGGGATCATCCATGCAAACTCTTTATAGAGACGATATCTTCTTATGATCAGTAAGAATATTCATTGGTTGTAGATTAGATTATGCTTATTCGGCTTATTTTCTTATAACATAGACTTTGGAGTGAAGTGTGGGAAACTTGGTCAACATACCTCTCTAATACGATGCTGGAGCCCCTCTAATCCATATGTTCGAATAACGAACCACAGCTTTATCGCCCGGAACCGCCGACTCAAAGGAATGCCCCAGTGCTGCAGACATTAAGAGTAAACAGTAGCACGTGTGCAGATAGGTATCATATTTTCTGATGTCCATCCAATGTGAGTACTTTACACATATTGTTTGTTTGTTAGTTGTGTAACCCCGCACTCAGCAATATTCCAGCTATAAGGCGGTTGTTTGTAAATAATCGAGTCTACACCAGACAATCCAGTGATTGATATCATATGCATAGGTCCACGAAATTGGAATACGTTGACATGGATCAACCATTTCAGCGAGCCTGACCACCCGATTCCGTTAGTCGCCTCTTACGACAAGCGTAGTCCCCACTTACGGCGAACATGGATTGCTAAATACCTGTTCTTCCCCGGATATTCACAGGTCTATAGTGTCACGTAAAACTGTAACGTTTGGCCATGAGGCTGTGCTGCTGAATAAACTGAATAAGTCTATACTAATTACAACTAATTAATGTGGCATACATGTATGTGTTTGGGTTTTGTTTTCCATTGTGATATTTATTTTTGTCTACATTATATAAAGTTATATTTACCTAAACTGTTTTAGACACCTGAGCTAGAAATACTGATCATACTGATTCAGAGTGTATAAACAAAGACTGCTTGCATGACAAAAGGGATGATTCAAATTTCCAATAATTAACTTTTCCTTCATATATCGAGCAGCTCCAGCCTTTGGTGTTTACAACTTCCTAGTACAATCGAGGATGCTCTTTTTACGAGGACTTTAAAGAGTGTCATACGACTCTTGCTCAATTGTTGTTATTCTCCGCAACGCGTTTTGCGGAATATTAAAATGGGCACCGTCGGTCTATGCGTCTGTCTGTCCGTGCAAGATTTTTCCGTAGATCTTGAAAACCGTACAATGTCTTCACCAGTCTTGGTACATAGATAGGTCTAGTGGTGAACAGGTGCTTAATGATAGTACGGGATGCTCGACAAGAATATGTCAAGAGTTGCCATAACAACAACTTTTGACTTAGGCTAGAAATGGCTATATTGCTCGTTTCCGGCCGAGCAGATCTTGAAAAACGTACAATATGTTTTTCACCAAACTTGGCACACAGGTAGGTCCAGTGGCGGTAGTGTACAATAACAGTAACCGTACTTTATTTCTTCACCAAACTTTGTGGTAAAGTGGTAAACTGGTGTCTTTTGATTGTTTGGGTTTTTCCGAAAGAAATATTTTCGAGTTTCCATGTCAACAATATATATTTGACGGATCAGTGTCACACCCGATGCCATTCCACTTTTTAAGTTGTACCCCCTTGTTCTCCATTGCGGGAGTTGTGGATATATAGTGGAATTCTCCCCGATATTGCTTCATATTCGGTGAATGATATTTAATCAATATGACCTTATTCACACTCAATGATTGCGACACGTTGTATACCTGTTGCTCATTTTAAGGATAGATTAGTATGAATCCCCGTAATGTGTTCTGGGTTTGTTAGGTTCAGTGTGTAACACTTTTAATAATACAATTGTAATTGCCAGGCCTCATCGTTCGCATGCAATCCATGCCAATCCAATAACAACTCAGCAATGAGCCCAGATTTGAACCCCCTTCAACATGTTTGGGATATTTTGGGGCGGCGCATACAGGCACGAGATCCTCCTGTACAAGATTTACGCCAATTGGAAGCAGCATTGCATCAGGAGTGGTTGTTGTTGACCCATCAACAGATACAACGTCTGACTGGAGGCATGAGACGTAAGGTGGAATGCGTCAGCCGGCCACGTGGCGATTATACCCGCTACTGATCTGTTTCACGTGTCATGTCAAGTAGAGACTTTTAGGAACATTTTCAAATGAAACATCAAACGTAACTCTTTTACTTAATCCTGTAACTCCATACTTTTATTAGGTATGGTCTAAGGTAAAAACAATACCTGTGTTACCATGATGTTTTTGTCGGTAAATTTCAATCACAACTCCCCAATATCTTCTTTATTTGTTGTCAAATGTTTGTTCTATCCAATGACATTGCTATCGCCCAGCTCCTGTGGTTAGTCATCCCATGCCATGATTTTTGCCATTTGTCATGGTTCAGGAATAAAGGTGTGCTTTTCTCTGTGTATATGTCATTTGAGGAGCATCTCTGCTCACTCCGGTGGTCACACTATAGGACGTGTGACCGTTCCCCGATGATAATAATAGTACCCCCTAATATCAATCACTTGTTTGTGATTCAGACTCAATTATCTATGGGCAACCGTCATACAGCTGCACTAAGTGTGACATCCAACAGCCAAACAACAAACTAATAAATAAAGCAGTCAGTTCTGCATGAAGCAAATATACAGACCCTGAAATCGATTGCCTTGTCGCCATGTTTATGTTGCAGATACAGAGGGTCCACGGTTAGAGCAGTTGTAAGTGCCTCGTTGTCCTTGACCCTGTAGATGGTAGGAAATACATAGATTACAAGCACAAATTCATTCAATTATTCGCTAGTGCACGTCAGTTTATAAAAAAAAAAAACACATGTTAACAGATCAGCACAAATGATACACATTCTTGGATGTGAACAGCATCCATGCAACAGCAGGTTCCAAATGTGAGAAATTTGCTGTCATGTGTAAGTAACAATCATCAGCATAATGACGCACACTATGCTATAAAAAATGCAAACAGTATTGAATTCACCGATGGCAGATATATCCACAATGGCAAGGCCACAGCTACCACTGGTGTCAATGACAAACCTGGTCACATGCCCAGCTAGCGGCCCAACAATACAGTCGACACTCCCGTCAGTGGCACTCCCAAAGCTATAGCTATAGCACACCGAGAGTGCTATGGAACGTAAAAGTCCAAGGCGACGCTGAGGACAAGGAATACCACCGCACCTCACGAGAAGTCGACAACCATCTTACACAACATGTGAATATAGCATTTGAGGTCCGCTTTTGCATTTTCTCAACATAATTCGTTTTCACACGAAATTAACAACACCTTACCTTCCTGTATGTGGTACGATATTTCAACAAAGATTAAATGTTCCCCCTTATATTGTCAACACTTGCTTCTTATTAACATATTTTGTTTACTTTGTTTGCCTCAAAATACAGTTCAGTATGTCACCCCTTGGCGATCAGCTAATCTTCAGAAAAGAAATGGAACAGATCGGAACAACTAAAACACGACATGTCGTCAATACGAAATTGTCTATGAATGTGTTGCTTCAAATAGAACATCATTAGTGCAGAGTGCAGAGATTCTGCTGTTTATAATTAAGGAAACAAGCTTTAAGAAATAAGTTCGTTTTGCAACACAGTGGTGATCAGGCGTAATGGTTCGTCCCTAAAACATCTTCAAACACTTTAAATGGAATTATTAATATGATGTAGTAATATGACACTATAGCCGCTAGAAATGAAATAATGTAAGCAAGATACTTTGCTCTTTTCGCTTCAAATGGGCCCGTCGCAATCACGCTATTGTGTAAGCACATTGGGTAAAGAAAGTCATGGACGAAAATAACGGACGTTATTCTCAATGTCATTGATGATACATTTGATTAAAAAAGCAAACAATCAGTATTCGTGTTCAATGGTATATAATGGGTCGGTTTGATATTGCTGCATATTCTTTTTGTGTTTATGCAAGTGAAACAAAATCAGACCTCATATAAACCTGAAGAGGCCGGAAAATACAATCAAATATGCGTGACGGGCGGAGGTGCAACACCTATTCCTATATTCCCTCGCACTTTGTGGCGGGGGATAAACAATGCCAATTCTATCATGTCTGGTGGCGAGATCAACGGCATCTTCATTGGACAACATATTGTGCCAGTTGTTGTAAATTCGGTCCGGAGGCAAGTGACATGATCTAAATATTACAGCTGAAAACTATCGCATTTCGGCGGATATATTTAGTATATTATTTTACTCAATTTGCATCTTACTTGATAAGATGGTATTACCGACAGTGAGTAAAATAAAAGTAAGTGCCAGCGGCTGTTACATCCTTTAAATCAACCGAACAGCTCTGTTTGTGGATATGTAATAGCATAACGTAAACAGTCAAATATCAACAACTATTACCCATAGGTGGTTGATAACTGAGCGTTGTTACAAATGTGTATTTCAGTAATTTTCGACGACTGAGAGAATATTATGAATGTGATTATAATGATTTATCCAATGTCTAACCATGTGCTAGTTACCCACGTCCCCTCTGTCATGATAATATACTAATCCAACAACAGCTCACGGGTGATAACATTGCTATGATTGTAGGCGGGTCCGGTAACGACTGTCACGGTATATAGATCTTAATCTAACTTCATTATGGGCCTCGTGTTTGTCCCTCGCTGGTGCTGATCTCAGAGTTCCTTTACTGTCTACTCCCTGTATGTAAACCCATCACGAAGAGCTTGACGACCACCACTCTGTGGCTGAACAATTCGGCGAACATCTGCCATCCTGACGAATGATCTACTGGTATTTTACATTCTTAACTCATAAATGTTTGACGAATGGTAAGATTAAATTTTGACAAATGGTAAGATTAACTGCAGGGAGACATCTTAATATATTGATAAAATGCATATGTTAAATATATACTACACCAAAAAGTAGGGCTATTTTGTTTTGATGGGAAACTAGAGGAAAATACACGAATGTCTGCACTTGAAAGTAAGTGACTAATGTTGCAAGAAAATTTCCAAAAAAATCAAGCACCTTAACACAATATTGTGACATCGGACAGCACGCGCATTGGGATACAGGTGGTATGCCAGATTTACCATTGTCTTTAAGACTCAGTTGTGAGCAGAAGCACACTGTTTCTTGGAACGAAACGCTCAGAGACACTGTATAAAACACATTTAAGCATTGAGGAAGCACCGTCATTGATCATTCGACGTTTGCAACGTTCTTGAACGTTTGCGTGCCATAGGCATGTTGCAGGTGGGCGCACGTCAGAATATTGTTGCCCAAACGCTGCATGTTTCCCCATCTGTCATCAGCAGATTAATGTATTGTGGGCACATAACACAAACACATAACGTCGATGATCGACGCCGCTCTGGACGCCCAAGGGCAACAGCCTAGTCAGAACGATGGCATAAAGAAAACCATTGCAAAATGTCACCCAGACAAGGGACCGGTTGCAACAGGTAATTGGTGTAATACATGCTCAGACGTCTGCAGATATGGCATTTGCGTGCACGACGTCCACGTGTCATCCCACAACTTACTGCACGTCATTTCAATGAGAGACGTCAGTGGTGTATGAAACGTCAGCACTGGGATAATCAACGTTGGGCTAATGTCATGTCTTCTGACGAATCGAGATTCACTCTCGTCTTCGACGACCGAAGGAACCTAGATTGGACACGTCCTAATGAGCATTTAATGGTGGTTAACGTCGTACAGCATGATCGTGTTTGGGATGGGTCTATAATAGGGTGTGGTATCAGAATGACTGGCCGAACTGCGCTCCATATTGTCAATGGCTGAGTCACAAGTCAATACTTTTGAGACAACTCGTGGTGCCATTTGCACAAGGTGTTGGGCAACGTTTCGTCTTTCAAGATGATAATGCAGGTGCTTATCGTGCCAGGGATGTGATCCGATTCCTCCAACAGCATGCCATGGACAGCACTCAGGCCTGACCTGCCCCCTACTGAACATGTCTGGGACGTTTGTTTGTTTGTTGTTTAACGCAACACTCAGCAATATTCCAGCTATATTACGGCGGTCTGTAAATAATCGAGTCTGGACCAGACAATCCAGTGATTGACATCATGAGCATCGATCCACGCAATTAGGATCAATGCCATGCATTAACCAAGTCAGCGAGCCTGACCGCCCTATCCCGTACGTCGCCTCTTACAAGCAGGGTTGCTTTTTACAGCAAGCGTGGGCTGCTGAAGACCTCTTCTACCCCGGATCTTCACGGGTCTGTCCGGGATGTCATCGGCAGACCTCGTGGAGACAGCGTCTGCCCGGAGAGCGGAATGTCGTGGATTCGATCCCCGGGCGCGTCATATCAAAAGACGTGAAAAGATGATACTTGTTACCCTGCTTGGCGTTCGGTATTAAGTGCCTGAAACAAGGGTCGGAGTCAGTATGTGTGGGGTATTCGTGTTAAACTGCGGCGTGGTATCTTCGTATGGCTAGCACTATAAAATTGGCATTGGTCCGGACTAGTATAAGTAGCCACATAAATACACACAAATATGCATGCACGTCGCTATATTTGTGCAATAGTCTTGAACGCGACGTCAAACCCCATTTCACCTCACCCACCTCCTCGGCAGACGTGTACGTCAACGTCAAAATCCACCCACCCACCATTCTCAATCAACTCGGTGTTGCTCGCATTGATGGGTTGACCAGCATGTCTTGCAAACGGAAGGGTTTTACTGATATTAGTGACTTTGCCTGCAAAATACAAATTTCGAATTGACCCCAGACCTCTTTGACAACTGAGTCCGCCACCATCTCACCACACAAGCCATTAGAACGAATCAGATCTGATCGCCTACTCCCCAGCAGATATGATCATATCATTTGCATTTGCCAATATGATATGGATTTGAAAATATGCCTTGATGATTCCCACTACCCCATCCTTTTCGGCATAAAATAGAACAATTAGTGTTACTGGTTAGGTGAGAAAGGTTTAGAAAGCACGTCCATTGATTGGTAGGGTTGTTGTTTTCGAGTTATAAATCGAAAGATAATTTGTTGGCCTTACCAGAGATACATTTTCATCAGATTGTAACTACGTTCGTGTAAACATTGATATAAAAAAAAAGTAGGAATACCTTTTAAGTAAATTTTTAGTCAACCGTAAATGTATATGTTATTTAAGTTTTCAGAACTACATACTTCGCAAACAAAAAGAAAGATAGAAGTAACTAAATTATTAAAAAGTCAGATTTAGTTGTCGACCTTGGCTTAAAATGAAACGCATAACTTTGATTCTTAGTCTTTGTAAAGTGTAATTTTTCTGAGAAGTAACGCCGAGGTATTGAAAAGAATCAACATTATGTATAATATAATTACTGATTTTTTTAGGAATGCTTGTAATCACTCTTAGTCCCGTCAAACTTTTGTCTTCGTAAAATTGATTCTTAGCTTCCAACTAACACTATACCTGATGAATGAATCTAACATATGTTCTAGAGCCGTAACGTCGGCATATAACAATGCAAATATATCTATGAAGTTTTCTAGGCGGTTATTGTTGTCACTGGGATCTAATTTCACAATAACATGTCTACTCAGGAAGAGTTGTTTCAAGATTATTTAAAATCAAAGCAAACATATTTGGAGACACGCTTTCCGCTTGTGCATTTAAACGAGGAGATGCTTGTAAGGTAATCACCACAAGAAACACATTATTTTATATTCTGTTACATGTGAAAAATGACCCTGAAGCCAGTCCCAGTTATACCAATGTTGTGTTTTGACAGTGAATATTGTATTTTGTATATTATAGCTGTATTTTTTTATGCATGTGGCAAATATATTGAAGCGTCTTAAAATGTTTTAGTGACGTCGCCATAGAGTTCTCTCCCTTGGCTTTTTAAAACATCGATTGAAGGTTTGCTTCATCAATACAACTGCTGTAACGGATTTTCAAAACAACACAACATTGATTTCGGTTTAAAATGTTCAGGATGTTTGGGATCTCCTTCGTATTTATAAATTGCTTTGATAACACCATAAAGCCATTTGTCTGAGGACACTAAAACAGTGACAAGTACAAAGACATCACGTAGTGAGGACAATATACCCACCGTGTTCCCGGTGGAACAAAACAAAATTGTTTACGTGTACTGTTGTCTTATTTCATGGTGAGTCAAGGGGCATCCAGTATTGTGCGGATTTTCCAACAATTACAGCTGTGCATATGAGTGTGCGCATAATATACGCCTATATGATTTGGTTTTTTTTCCAGAGTCCTGGTACTAGTCAGAACTCACCAGCGTTTGTCGGAATTAGGTAACATGGCAAGAACAATGGAACGAGGTCTAGTGGAGAGTCGTTTAACAGTACATGCCATTCGTCGCGTCCACCTTTACTGTGGTCATCGAAATCCCACAGACGTGGCTTGAGACTTTCTGGATCTTTTCGCACTTGACATTGGCATTTTGACAAAGGCATCAAGTTTGTCAGCACCTGGTATAGTCGCTTTCGAGAGGTTATTGTCAATATTAGTGAGTTTACTGTCCACGCCTTCAATGTGTAGCATACGTGTTTGAACAATGCCGGTAGGATTTAAATATTAAAATCAAAATCTTTAAAATTACATGGGTCATCAAAGTTAGATCTGTATCACGGCTAATATAGGACAATTCCAACGGATATAGACTTTATCCGTTGGGGTCATATACGGATAGAGATCAAAGGTCAAGTAGAGACTACTTTCAGTGTTTACAAACAAACATGGCTTCAGCCCTTGTCCTTCGGCGATCGAGTCAGAATTAACCATCGGGTATCTGAAGAAACTACTGGGGTAATTGCTATCATTATCAAAAGAATAGTCTACTATACTGAAATCAATGTCTACCTATTTTACAGGTTTTGGCAAGTTTGGATACTATTATATAAATTGCGAAACAATTTTACGAGAACACTAGCCTAGCGGGATCAGTTTCCACATCTGTGTTTGTAGACCGCTGCGGCTTGGAACTTTTTACCCAAATTAAAACAGTTGGATGTGGTCGAAATAAGTCCTAATGTTTAACTTTTTCGTTTTGCACCTCATAACGTTATGAGCGGACATCCTACGCAGACGCTAAACAAAAGTCACGTCTTATGGACGCAAGTAGAAACAATTTGTGCAGGGAATTGTTGTTTTGACAATATGTAGTTACGCCACAGGTTTCAATTGGGATACATATTGACTGTAGTCACTGTGAGACTGACACTTCACTTACATTCTGATGTAATATATATTAATGCGCACATTCCAGAGGAAAACTTGCAATGTTTAGGTATTGTCTATGAGACACAGGAAGAGAGTTTTCGAGCACATAATTGAAGAATGACATTATATGATGAAGAGATTATGACGCATGTGTGTTTGGGGATAGTAAATGTCCTGAATTGAGTAACACGCTACATAATAAAAATAAGACCTCTTCACTATCCATAACAACTGGTTGTGCAAGTAATAGTATATTTCTACCTAAGCTTCATGCGCAGGGCACGACAAACTGGTAGGGCGTGCTACATGTAAAAGTACTCGTGATATAGAATATGTGTTTGAGCCTCTGTTTTCAGATGAACATAGTGGTATGATTCTAATACTTCGTTTATTAGTCGTTAGTTTATTGTCATATGTTCGAACATTCAGTCAGTTTATATGAGGGGATTGCCCATTAATTGTGTCAGTGTAATTGATCTATATTAAAAACAAGTAAAAGCTAGAAAAGCGTGTAATTTGTAAACGTCTAGCTGACTGCCACAAGAACTCCACAACAACCGTGCTGCAGTACATTAACATACGCACACTTAAGTGTCGATTCCCAAATTGATACAATATGTTAACCCAGAAATCTGTACGTAATAGAACTTAGTATGAAACCAACAAACAAACAAACAAGTGCTACGCACTTAACAAATGTATTCCAAATCAATACAAATTACTGTACAGCAATTACAATGTCAGCACACAGTAGAGTGTCAGTACAGTATTCAATGGCAATACATTATATGATGACAGTGGTCAGTATCTAACACACAAATACAGTGGTGATAGCAAAAGTCAGTAATAATGATAATATATATTCGCCAAGTGGCGACAGTGGTCAAGCTTCCATTTTGGGCAAGGCAGGGAATCAGGAATGATGCGCGGTAATCACGCTGGTGTTGACGTTATGAAAATACGTGAGAGACAATTGTGTGAGAGATGCAAGAGGCATGCTCTTGTCCCGTTATACCGCCCAACTAGCTTTTCAGAACTTTCTAGACAGTGCTGTCAGGCTCTGTACAATGCGTGACCAGTCTCGCCGTTTCTGGAAGTTGCCACACCACTCTAGCATAGTAACGTACTGACGATTGCAGTTACCCGTGAAGATCTGTTTTAGAATCGGTACAACATACTTGTCGTACGGGATCGACTTCCGGGATCGGGTGGTCAGGCTCGCTGACTTGGTTGATGCATGTCATCGTATTCTAATTGCGTGGGTCGATGCTCATGATATCAATCACTGGATTGCCTGGACTCGATTATTTACAGAGAGCGGTCATATAGCTGGGATATTGTGCGGCGTTAAACAACAAACAAAACATTGTTCAACAATAAAATACACTACCATATAACTGCACGCATATGCATAATGTTCTTTCATCAGATACAATTTTCATAGGGCACGCAGCTCTATGTTGAAAAAATTAAATCAAACAGACACTGTTCAGTTATACCTACCACATCAATGAGCAATCAAAGTTGACTTGGAGCCATTTGTTGGTGTTGAAATTGAGAGAGTTGGCATTCTGAAAACAAACAACATAAATGTGTTATAAAGACGCAAATATAGAAGATATTGGAAATGGTACTGGTCATAACATACTTGGATTAACCTAGAGTCGACGCTGTTTACTAACTTATGTACTGTTTTACAAAGATATTGGTTTTACACAATAGGCAGATTTTTGTTGGGACATAGATGTACATAATGTTTCACGGAGGTTTCCTTTAATCATTATGAGACACACACAAATGTAACAATCTCTGTATTAATAATATGCTGGGCAGAAGAAGTACTGCTCAATAGCGAAGGAATCCTGTTGAAAAACGTCCAGTGTCTACATGATGCCAACGTGACTGTGATGTGACACATTGAATTCTCTTCTATTGGTTATTTTCTGCAATTGATGTTTTATATTCATCTACAATCATGTTTTGCAATATAACGGCGGTGCAATGGGTTATACAGACCCACTTATTTTTAACATCATGTTTAAGAAGTTATGAATACATTAGTTGTACGAGGATGGTAAAAACGTTCAAAGCCTAACAAACAAAACCAACAATTGCGAAAGTTTTAGTTTTCAACATAATATCCCTGCTTTTAAATACTCTTCTCATGTCGACAGAGAAGCTTTTCAATTCCAGTCAGGAAGACGTTTTCTGAAGCCACCCTGAAAAACCCAATCATGGCATCTTTGAGGTTATGGTTGTCGTCATAGCGCGCTCCACGAAGGAAGTTTAGCAAGCAGGTGGAGATGACTTTGTGCCAGGTCTGGTGAGTATGGAGGGTGGGGAAGCTCTTTGAACCCTCATTGTCGCACAGCAGCCTTTGCATGTCAAGAGGTGTGAGGGGAGGCACTGTCATGAAATAGTAGAACTCCAGCAGTCAGCATTCCTCGCTGCCCTTCTTTATAGAATCTCTCAGGCGATGAAGCAAATCCGCATAGTAGGCACCGGTAATCGTCTTTTGACTTTGTAAGTAAACAACAAGGATCACACTCGTTGCTTTCCAGAATATAGTGACGATAGCTTTCTTCAATGATCTTGAAGACTTGATTTTCTTTGAAGTGGCATAGTGTTCCACGGTTGACGTTTCGACTCGGGATCATAGTGGTAAACCAATGTGTCATCACCCATTACTAATCTCTTTTTTAATTTGACGAATTCCTCAATTAGCTGTAATTTTTTTTTGCAATGTGAGTTATTTTTTCAGTAAGATCAGAATTTAGAAACTTTGGCACCCAAAGAGCAGATATCTTATTCATCTGTAAATGTTCATGAATAATAGTTTCACTGGATCCATGGCTACGACCTGTGTCTTCCTCAAATTCAGAAATGGTAAGGACCAGTTGAGGGACCTCCAGACCTAGGGTCATCATCAAGGCTTTTTTCTCCTAGCCTAGCTGCCCGAAGTTTAACAGTTGAATAGCTAGGGCACTTAGCCCCATATACTTGTGACATGCGGTCATGAATTTCTTGGGGAGTACTTTCCACTAAAGTAAAAAATTTGATGACTGCTGGGTACCCGTTCTTTTTTCCATTTCTGTGTCCATTTGGACCCTATCACGTTCAGCTGTCTGTCACTTATATACAGACGACCTCAACAGACCAAATACACTTGCAAATATACTTCTCCAACAATGTACTACATTGACTAGTTCACATTGTTATGGCCCTTAGTTGAAAGTTAGTCAGACTTAGAACTTTTTGACCAGCCCTCGCAGTGCATGGTTAACTCATAGTGCAGATTGTTGACACATCATTGCTTTGCTCAAGATGTTACAAAATCATTATCACCTCTCGCTTACACGGTGTATACGTTGAGGGTGTGCAACTTTTGATTTCGTAATACTCATGACAAATAAGATTGCAAAACGAAGAAAGCCATGCTTCACTGTAACTTTCATTGTACAGTTGCAAGTGTTCCCAGATTACGTCACAATCTGCCATTTGGAATGCGTCTGCAGCTGAGTGTGTAACTAATATAATGTTCTTCTCCTTGTCAATGTTAAATACTAAAAGAAACATGTAAATATTTGGATTACTCAAAGTGTCACAACCATAAGAGTGATTATTCTTCTTCTATTTAGGTGTCCTTTTAGTTAGAATGTTAGTTAAGAATGCGACAAATTTACAAAAACTAAGCACATGTACTCTTCAAAAAAAGAAACGCAATCCGGATATATTTGACCATAAAAGCAAAATTAGCGGACCAACTGGTTTAATGTGTTGTAGTGTCAGTGACACATTTCCCGGGTCAAAATGATCGCAACAAGGACATGCAAACCATTAGACGGGAAACACGTACGATTCGAAAAAACGCACTCACTACATTAACAAAGGACCATTGAGCTGCACGTACTGCACGTGCAGCAGCACTATGAACGGTATTAAAGTGCAGGGTTTTTGATTGCCTGGCATCTGTAATCCCAGGCAGGGGAATCCCGATCAGCTGTAGCCAGGGCTTTCAATGTAGCGCCTAGCACCATCACAAGGCTATTGGATCGGTTTCAACAGCATGGGTCAACATGCCACATACATGAAAGGACGACCACAGCCACCTGTCGACAACATCGTCAACAACGACTGCATTGGTGTCGTCAACACAGGGTATGGCCTCAACTGCGATGGAGAGATGTCTGGTTCAGCGACGAATCACGATTTCTCCTCCGTGGAGGGAATGGAAGAACACGGACCCAGGACGTCGGGGAGAACGTTACGCCGGAAACTGCATACAGGAAGTGGATAGGTTTGATGGGGTAGCGTTATGATGTGGGCTGCTATCTCTCATCATGTCAGGGCAGGTTTGGTCTATATCCATGGCAATCTTACGACTCAACGATACATCAACGAAATTCCTACCACACGTCCTCCCTATTACAGGCAACGGTGTATTCCAGCAGGACAACGCTCCACTGCATGTCTACACAACAACAACGTTGATGTTCTATGTGGGATGAATTGGATAGACGGCTACGACGACGTCAACCACAACCGAAGACGTTGCAGCAGTTGGCTGCTACCAATGGTGTTCCCCAGGATGTGATTCGCATACTCGTCTCGTCCATGGGCAGGAGATGTCAGGCCGCTATCGATTCCAACCGGGGACTTACGCGTTATTGATGGTAGCTGACCTTTACCTTGAACTTTTCCTATGTACCAATAACTGAGATGACTACAATCACCAAGTGTTATCTCCACAACATTTTAGCTCAGTACCTTCAACGGTTCCTCGTATCAATATATACTGAACAACAAAAGTTCCTGTGACATTGAATAAGATTTAATGCAAAGTTATGTTTTCAACCAAATCTGAAACAATTTCGGTTTGCAACAGATAAAGACTCCTGTAAGTGTTCAAATGGTTTAATTTGCCATACTGACTTTAGAAAATGCGTGATCATGCCAAAATGTCAATTTACAAATCAATAGCGTGTGTGTCCGCCTCTGGTTGCAGTGCAACACATCTTCGTCTCATGGAATGTACCAGGCGTCGCACAAAGTCCTGTGGGATATCTGTCCATATCTGCTTGAGCATGTTTCGAAGTTCCTGGAGTGTCTGTGGAACACGTAATTGACGTCGAAGGCGCCGATCCATCTCATCCCACATGTGCTCGATTGGTGAGAGATCAGGGGAGCGAGCCGGGGAGGGGATGACATTTTCGTTGTTTTGTTGAAGAGAATCCTGGTAATGGTAATGCCTAGGCCATGACGACGCAAAAAGGGTAGAACAACAGGGCCGATGATCTCGTCGCGGTAGCGCTGTCCATTGAGATTTCCCCTTAGCACTATCAAACGGGTCCTCTGTCTTGCTATAAACCCACCCAAAACCATAACGCTGCCGCCCCCGAACCGATCTTCTTCCATGACACAATGATTGACGTAACGTTCACCTCCACGTCGGTGCACTCGAATCCGTCAATCGCTGTGGCTGCGATGAAAACGAGACTCGTCAGTGAATAGAACTTGTCCCCACTGCATGGCCGTCCAGCGTAGACGCTGTCTGCACCAATGTAGACGTTCTTGACGGTGATTTCCTGTCAAAATGGTACGTCTAGCGGGTCTTCTGGCGACAATCCCTGCACATCTGAGGCGACGACGTACGGTATGTGAAGATATTCGTCAAAGGCCAGGGATGCTTCTTACAGTCACTGTTGCTGTCTGGAATCGATTTCGTAGGTGTGTTGTTCGAATCCAGTTGTCTTGTCAATTATTGGTTACGCGTGGCCTGCCACTCCGAGGATGGTCTCTGACTGCATTCGTCCGTTGCCAACGTTGCCATGAACACCAAATGGTGTTTCTGTGGACGTTAAATTGTCTTGCAACATCACGTTGACTCGATCCTGCTTCAAGCATACCAATGGCTCGCAGATGCTCATTTTCGGACAGGCTTGGCATTTTGTCGTTTTTCTGAGTGGTTGTTGTCAGCACGATGCTGAACAATGCATATGGAATCCCGTTAACGCACATGTTTTTATACCCATTCTTTGGTAGTGAAATGCATGGGACTTGCATAAAAGTCAACTTTTGCAAGGAATGCATGCTTTTCTGTAGCAGCTGCGTTTTTGTGACTTGATTCAATACATGTACTACAATATTGAAAACCAAACTTTACTTGTTTGAAAAATACACTAAAATATTGGTGTCACAGGAACCTTTGTTGTTGAGTATATGTTCCTACCTCAAACACACTCCTACCTCTGGTTTTGCGTTTCTGTTTTGGAAGAGTATACTACATTTCATAAGCATTAACACGAAATTATTGAGCCATTTTCGAAATACCTTTGCAGTATTTTTCGCGATAAATGGTTCAGAGGTCACTATCGCGCTACTAGTCACGTTTGTCCTACATTTGCGGAACAACATACTATACTGAACCAAAGTTAAAACTTCACAATCCTAAAACTTTAACATTTTGACCAGTTATCATTGTGGGCCCTTATTGTGTATTTAAACAGTAATGGCTACGTATTGTCTTCAGATAACACCCGTTTTTGTGCAGGTGAATCGATCAAAATCATGTGCACTGCACTATAGTGGCAAAAGTGGTTTTTCACGTGCAACTGGTCACGTAGCCATAATACCGCACGTTTTTTCACCCATACTTTTTAGCAGTCATTACCAAACAAAGAAAAACACATGAAAACAAAAGTCTTTACGGCCATGTGTCATGCCACGCCTTTCAAATGTGCAACGTGAACGTGCCATCGGCATGTTACAGACGGCAACGTCCGTAGCTGAAGTCGCAAGGACGGTGGGTTGTAGTCGACGGACTGTTTATGATTTACAGACGCGTCTACAGCAAACGGGTACCACCGCTGATCGCCCTCGGCCAGGTCGACAACGTGTGACGTCACATGCAGAGGATCGTCAGATTGTCTTACATCACCTCCGTAACCGATTTTTGACGGCTACATCCACCAGAAATGAACTGTTTAGGGGTAGAGTGAGTGCGCAAACTGTTCGAAACCGTCTGAGAACTGCTCACCTTCAAGCACGACGGCCATACTGCGGGCCGATTCTGACTCAATTACACAGACGTCAACGTCAATTGTGTGCACAGCGACACTGACGATGGACTCAGAGGAATTGGAATCAAGTCGTCTTCAGTGATGAATCCCGATTTAATCTTCGATTTGCTGATGGCAGGGCGAGGGTGTGGAGGCGCCGTCATAAACGTTACGCCCAGTGTTGTGTACAGGAAGTTGACAGATTTCGAGGCGGAAGTGTCATGGTGTGGGGTGCATTCTATGGCAACGCACGTTCCAGGCTTCTTGTCATCCGTGGCAACCTCAACGCTGCTGCTTACCGCAACCAGGTACTGGCACTAGAACTGGTGCCTTTTATGGCAGCACATGGACCCGGTTTGATCTTCCAACACGACAATGCCAGACCCCACACAGCAATTTTGACAAGGAATTTCCTTCAGAATGCGGAGGTCAACGTCATGGACTGGCCGTCAATCTCTCCAGACCTCAATCCCATCGAACACGTCTGAGATGCTCTTGGCAGAAGTCTGCGCCCTCTCCAGAACCAACCACAGAATTTGCAAGATCTTGGCACCAATTTGCAGCAACAATGGCGTCGTCAATGGTGTTCACAAGCATCACAAGGTCCATGCGGAGGCGTTGTGTGGCAGCTGTCAACGCACATGGTGGCCATACACGCTACTGAACTTGTGTGCCATCAGATTCTCGTGCTTGGGACTTATGATTTAAACTGTTGATGTTATTACCGAATACCGTAGGCGCTTGGAACAAATTATGGTTACCACCGTTAATTAAAATCCTTCTTTGGACATTAATGATTAAAAATTACCTTCTCTGATACATTTGTCCGTTGTACATCATATATCGGATTACTTTTAAAAATGTAATTAAAAAGTTTTTAATTTGACTCAGTATATATTGGTCGCATTGTTCGTTGTTTAAAGATTCTGGAGTTATTTTGACATTTTCCATGGCATGCTAATCTTCACATGTTATTATCCCCCGCCACGAAGTGGGCGGCGGATATAGGAACGAGGTTCGTCCATCCGTCTTTCTCAAAAACTGTTTAAGTTAGAGAAATCAACATTTACACACAGATCTTACGGGCCATGCTTAAATAAGTTCGAAAATTAGTTATTGCCCTTTTCCGTGCTATTCAACTTAGTGTATACTGCGTGAAATTGGGACAAGATCCTCAGAAACTACTTAATTTTGAATGAAAGCTCGCATGCTTATCTTAGAGACACTTGTCAAGATTGAGTTCTACAATTGGTGACGTAAATGATGTTTTCAATGAGTTATTATACCTCACTAATATTACGTTTTTAAGAGGGTGATTCCTAAACAGTGAAGAAATTGAGAATCAGCGACCGCGTGTCAATAAATACAATTCCGGGTTCGCATAACATCACGTATTAGTTAACAAGCACTCACTTCTATGCAGGATATGTTTGAACTCACGGTCAGTGTCTCCAGATGGCATGTTATTCACTTTGAACACATGTAGTACATAATGACCGCTGAGAGAGGCAGTAGAAATCATAAACTTGTTATACAGTCACACAGAATTCTTTTTTTATGTATTTGCAAAATATGGTGATTGATTCTTCGCCTTTTCCAACAATATCACGGCGGGGGACAGCAGAAATGAGCTTCACACATTGCACCCATCTCGGGTTGGTTGGTTGGTTTGCTGTTTAACGACGAACTCAGCAATAGTCCAGCTATATGACGGCGGTCAGCCAAGTCACCGAGTCTGACCACCCGATCCCGTTAGTCGCCTCTTACAACAAGCATAGTCGCCTCTTACAACAAGCATAGTCGCCTCTTTCAACAAGTAGAGTCGCCTCTTGCAACAAGCATAGTCGCCTCTTACAGGGGTATATGTTACGATCGATCCAACTTTGAAAACCTAATGCTGTGCAGAGTTATATAATCGCTGCTCACGAACACAGGGATTAATCTAGGATTCCATTGTTATGTGCCCTTGGCAGGAAAATTGTGATTATTGTTTTTTTTATTCGGTTCAAAATTGGGATTGTTTTATGTAAAGTTCGTATTTTCTAATTTTCAGAGGAAGTCATCATTGCATTCAATACAAAAAAATACAAATCTCAATGAAACTATGATGTGAGGCGTCCTCCCCGAGTTTCATTCATTCATTTCAATGTTAACTAATAAAACAGGTATGCGCTTTGTAATTGCTGACAATAAATATGTTTATTCACAAAACATTTTATTATGTGTTTCCGTACATATCATACATGTGCATGACCGTTCAGCCAGTACGGACAATACTGTTATGCGTGAAACTTACTTCAATCCCTTTAAGTAAGTGTTGAAACTCTGGACAAATCATGGCATTGCCAGCATACGCCGCGTCCACATGAAGCCAGACATTCTCTTTGGCGCACACTTCGCCTATCTCTTGAATGTTATCGAAGGAGCAGCATGCTGTCGTCCCAAGAGTGCCACAAACCTGATGGACATAGGAGCGTAACCTCACAACATGCAGACGTCTCTAGAACCCATTATTCAGTATCAAACAAGCGAAGTCTCACGTTAATCACATATACTTCTTTAAACAGAACAGTATTCGACAACAGTCTAACCTTCCAAGAATGAAATGCTGACATGTATTTGTATTGTCGCACGTGGTCGATGTCTCTTTATCGAAACCAGAGATTGCAGTAGTCGACCACGAAAAGAAACGTTAAACATGTTCAACAGCTATTATTGTTCAGTTGCAGAAGAATAGCTGATTTGAATTTAATCTTTCCCAGAAACTTCAGCATAACATTCCATGGAAATGCGCATCGTTAATATTTTATTTAGGGTAATTAAATAAGTTTGACTTACAAAGAAAGGAATGAGACCCAGTCGTCGATCTTCCTGTTGGAGAAAATATAATATTAAAGGTATTAATTTCCATGGCGCCAGACCTGTAAACATCAGTTTAACCTGGCAAGATATTATGTGAACATGGATGACAAGGTACATTCAAACTAGCGCAAAATGCCTTTTAACACTTCCCTGGCCTCGACATTACACGCTGTTAAAATATGGTATTTTAATTACACTGCCTGGGATAAGACAAGGAAACACACACACACAGGCATACACGCACGCACGCACGCACGCACGCACGCACGCACGCACACACAAACACGTGCAATAATCTTGAAGGCAACGTTATCCCATATGTCTACATGTATTGCGATGTTGAATTGTATTCTTGAAGTTCACTCTTATTTAATTATGTACTTTATAACTGTTCGAAAATATGAACAAACAACAAGTAAACAAGTCACGCAATTGCGTTTCAAACCAGATCTAAAATACTAAAGTATCGACAGAGACGCAATTTGAAATTCGGGCCTAGATTGCTAGAAACCAAAGTTAGGCCACCATACTTGGGAGCGTTTGGGATTGTATTAGAAAACTATTAGAAAAAGGTTATTGAGATTTGCTGGGCGATCATTGAAAGGTGATTATAAAGATGTGTCAAATAGATATTAAGGTTAATTCAAAGGTCGCTATTGACTGTCACTGTTAGTCTAGACAGGGATCGAGTCGATACTACGATTGTCAGGATGTGTATTTCTTCGTTTTGTTCTCGAGGGTGGGTCGTAGCGTGGATATTCGTGAACGATCAAGCAATCAATCTTTCTGACGTGTTTTAATGTATGCTAATAAGCTCAGTTCAAGTTCAAGTTCAAAGGGTCTAAATTAAAACAACGCTTCTGTATATCTTCGTGCTAGGGAATTCCCAGGGGTTTCCCCAGGAATATGGTAGACGTCTGTCAGTGTTTACGTCATTTCAAGAACACGGTCTCATGAAAAGCGTAAGAACGACAAATTGTGTTGTTCATACACTTATGAACGCCGTATGTCGTGTAGTATTTGCATTAAAAATGATACATGTTAAAGACATATTTCCCCAAAAGAAGTAACTTTAGAAACCGCGTTTGAGTGGACCGCCCGAAATATAGTGTCAAGTAACTTGCAGTCATAGTTTCTACAGAAACGTTCACATATGGGAAAACCTCTATCCAAACGTAATGGTAACGTTGGTAATGTTGTTTCGCGCTGATAACACTATCCATTATGTGGTAAAGCACTGAATCCTGAACCAACCAGTATGAACTGATGCGCTTGATGTGTTAACTCACCTCTATAGCATTGTCCAGTACTTGACCACGGAGAGAGTACTTGTCATCAACATCTAACTGACGCATCTTCACAAAACCTATCATTCCTGCTTTCTCCACACATGAATGTGCCTGTTTTATATAAAAGAACAATAAAAATTAATTCCACATCCCCTAAACGTACATTTTTGCTTAAACAAGATTGCCTCATGATGCAATGCAACATGAGAGATTGAACATTGTCTCACGATGCAATGCAAAGTGATGAATCGAAAGTTGCCACAAGACGCAAATCAACGTTACAGGAGGAACCTTTTCTCAAGAAAAGTAACCTGAAAGATGAAACGTTGCATCAAGACGCAAGGCAACATGACAGATTGAACCTTTTTTGGTTGTTTTTGTCTGGTTGTTGTTTAACGCCGTACTCAGCTATATTCTTGCTATATGAACAGCGGCCTGTAAATAATCAAGTCTGGACCAGACAATCCAGTGACTGACATCATAAGCATCCATTCACGAAATTGGGAAACGATGGCATGTATCAGCCAAGTCAGCGAGACTGACCACCCGATCCCGTTAGTCGCCTTAGGACAAGCATAAAACATGGGTTGCTGAAGACCTATTCTACCCCTGATCTTCACGGGTCATGAGTCTATGATTGGATGTCACATCATCTGACTAATGCAAACGAAGCAGGACACGTTAGTAGGTACTGCGCACATTGTTCTTCAATTCATTCCTAATTCTAAGAGGGGTCAGCTCTTGTTTTTTGCCTGATAGAAGTTTATGGTTAAGACCAGATGCCAAACTTCTATTCATTGGAAATGTTCCCCAAAGAGGATGCCCAACGACCATAAACACCAAAGATGACTTTGTCACAAGCACAATAACATGTCACTGTGCATTGGGTCGACGCCATCTCGAGGGGTGGCATCCACATTTTGTGCACATTCACTGAGACACTGCAGGTTGAGAAAAGTAGGTTGATGCCACCCAAGAAGAAGAAGCATTAGCCCATGCCCTTGAGAGGGAGAAATGGCAACTTCTTGCCAACCAGAAATACACTTTTAGTTGGACTGTGAATTGTGTAAATTTGAAAAGTGAAGGAAAACGTATCTATTGTGTATTTTTTGTCACAAGTCGTTATCTATGTGTGACAAGCATTCGCCGGTCCCCAACAGTGTTTGAAATGACCCCCGCTTAAACAAACACGATGGGGGTTATCCCTTGGCCAGGTGCTGCATTAACTTATTTACATAAGTGACAATTAACCTTATTTTGCACCCAAACAGGATGTAAGTAAACCAATGCTAGTTACAGATTGTTAACTGTTAGTCCACAATATCCAGATCACGTTTGACGTTTCTCACATTCAACAATGTATGCAATGTTGTTATTTAGTATAAGAGTTGTTAATAATCACATATGAATCAGCGAATCACATCTTCTGTCACACACCGCTGTACCGATACATTTAGGCCTGAGCCCCCAAATATGTTTGTTTTGGAGTGTGTGGAGTTTGGAATTTCAGCAATTAATACTTTCGACGAGTGTCATGAGATTTTCTCTCTCTCTCGGAAAGAGATAAAATGTATTTAGGGAAATTTATATTCGCAACAAAACCGCAATCATCTTTTTCAGCTTACTTGCCGTTTAAAAGTAATTGATTTATTTGAAAAATATTGATTTGTAACATAAAGATTTATCTTCAATAAATAACTAAGATTGTAAGGGGCTGTGTGTGTGTGTGTGTGTGTGTGTGTGTGTGTGTGTGTGTGTGTGAAGCGCCGTATAATCTAAATGGCTTTAACTTTTCAAAATCTCAAACAAACTGTATTCATTCAGAAAATACAAACCTCACCCAGACCCGGATTTAAATGAAGATGACACTCCTATTAAAGTTGTACATTGTAAAAGATGCCAAATGTTTAGGTATAATTTCGACCTTTTGGCCACACATGAAGTATTTGAAGAATAAATATCTGAACACGATGGACCTATTGAAGGTTGTTTTAAACTCAAAGTGGGGATGGGATCAGAACCCCCTCCTTCAACATTACAGAACACGTATCTGCTCTAAACTTGATTACGGCTCTATCATATTTGATGGGGCTTGTAAAAATTGTCAGATACTATTCATTATCAAGGCCTGAGGCTCTGCCTTGGAGCCTTTAGAACTTCGCCTTTTCATAGTTTGTACGTGGTGGATGATGAGCCATTCCTTAAACAACGTCGCATTAAATTATCTTTGTAGTATATGTCCAAATAATATTTCTATTGAATCCAATCCAGCGTATGGCTGTGATTTTAATCCTCTTTACGAAAATCTACACTAAATAATCATCTCTTATTCCACAATTTGGAATAATAATACAATCTGATACTCCAAAATCTTGGAAACATAGCCTCCACTCAGCTTTAGTCTTCTCCACCATGGCAGTTTGTAAAGCCAGTGGTGGACCTAACATTAACTGAACAATAGAAGTCTGAAACAATTCGACTAATTTATCAACAACAATATGATGAATTAAGCAACACATATGATACTTACAAATCCATATTTACAGATCTCATCCAGATTACCCGATAACTGTTCCATTCTCACAACAGAAGCCAATGCCATTGTAACAGCTCTATAATGTATCAGAAACCGTCAAAATATAAAAAGCATTAAATATATTCGGATTCTGTTTCGTGCCTACAGGCTATTCATAACATGCCATGTCCACATCCACTTCTAATCGAAATTGTTGAATTATATGATGAGCTTGCTACTGGCCATTTACGACATGTCTTTTGTTGGTTACCCAGCCATGTTAAAATCACTTGGAACTCTATGGCTGATGCTGCAGATAACGCAGCACTCCACAAATCTGTTTCACCACTTCTTATCCCCAACAGCGATAACAAACCTGTCATCAGATTTAACATCAGAGATCTAATGCAGAAGTGGGACACCTAAGTAGGTATAAATATATTACATGAAATTAAACCATCTATTGGTTACACATCTACTGATTTGATGAGGTCATTATGCGACGATGTCGTATTGGCCATAGCAAATATACTCATGAATATTTATTGATAGGTGAGGATCCTCGATTTTGTATCCCTTGTGACGAAAGAATCACCTGCTTGACAGTGTTGATTTTGCCATCACAGGGGATAACTATTTCAAAACATCATCTATTAATTATGTTTTTCATGGTATCAATTCCCGTTTATTTTATTTTGTGAAAGGAAATTGTTTTGTTTTTTAAACACTTTGGTTACTTTGTTTTGTGAAGAATATGTCGTTTTAACATTGGTAGATTAAATTAACAACAGAAGTTGTCAGTGGCGTATCCATAGAGGTGGTTAAGGTACTGTAAAATTATTGTTCCCCTGCGTGGTTACGTAAGTTACACATCTTTCAAAGTAACACTTGAAGGGATGGTGTAAATCCTGCCCCGTGGTCCTTAGTACGGTGATCTACCTTAAGTTGCTGGCGATCTGTAGTAAGATCATATTTTATCATGTATTGTTATGTACAGTGCTATCCTTTTATGATTACTTATGATGACCGTCTCCGTGGTCTAGTGGTAGAGCGTCCGCCCGGAGAGCGGAAGGTCCGGGGTTCGATCACCAGCCGCGTCATACCAAAAGACGTTGAAAAGGTACTTGTTGTCACCCTGTTTGGCGCTCGGCATTTAAGGGCTAAAACAAGGACTGGTCGGCTCGGAGTCAGTAAACTGTGGCTGAGTGAGGTATTCATGTTAATCTGCGGCATGGTTTCTCAGTGAGCTAGCACAAAAAATCGGCATCAGTCCGGACTAGTACAAGCAGCCACACACACACACACACACACACACACGTGCATGCACGTCGCTATGTAAGTGCAATAATCGTGGACGCGACGTTAAACACCATTTCACCTCACTAATTATAATTCTTTTTTCTGTGATAAGTCTTTTATTTTACTGTCCTTCGTTGGCAGGTTTTTATATATGAATTCATTAATGTATTTATTAGAATAAGTGATAGAACACGTTGGCAATTTATTGTAAGGGTCCACAAAAACTATTGGTGCGAGGTAAAAGTCTGAACGTTTGCGAAGACTTGATCAATAATGGGTCATGCCCAGACTATTGGACAAACATTCGTTTATGGGGCTCAGCATGGTTCGGATCAAGGTCCCAGTTACAATTTAAGGGAGTCTTCTCCACTTTTCTTGCAGCGCCCTTGCATTTGACGTAGACATACACTATCATCTTGAAGGCGTGATCTATGGGGGACACGTCCGGACTCATGGCGAGCCAATGAATTGTGGTGATGTTTTGCTACTGGAGGTAGTCAGTTCAATACTAGCACGGTGGGCACGGGCGTTATTGTTCTGAACAATGAAACATGGCTCAGAATGGCGTGCAAACGGCACAACTCTTGGCATCAGTGCGTTGTCCGTGTAGTAGTGTCCAGTGACCCTGCCATTGACAATAGGCAGTGACGTTGTGGCAGTCATAGTACGTGATCCCGCCCCATGTCAATACAAACGCTCGCATGGTGTTCGACAAGACGCTTATGACACCTCCACGCTTATCCAGAAATCCAGAGTGAATCTTGAGTCATCTGAAAACATTACATGATGAGACCATCGGCGATTGCCTAAGTTTCTTCGCTCCAAACACCATTGGTGTTTTGCTGGAATGGATCGACGGTAGTACAACACGTGGTCGCCGAGCATGCAAATTAGCTGCATGAAGACGATTTCAAATCGTGTGGTCAGCAACTTAAACCTCGGTGGCCTGGTGCACGTGAACAGCGATTTCATTAAGGCCTGGCTTCTGATTAGTTGATCCTGGACTGCACATGATAGACTGGGATACATTAACTGTAATATCTACCTCTTGTTGAGTTCTTCCAGTTTAAAGCATGTCAATTGCCCTTAGGCGTTCATCACGTTGTAGACGACACCTTCCCAATCTGATCACTAATACTGCATTAAAACAAGAGTAGAGAGCTTGCGCTTTACTATCGATAACAAAAATTAACAATACTAACGTACGGCCAGAGCGATTTGACGACCTTTCACTGAAGTGTCCAAATCAAGATTGACCCCCCTACTCACGTGCAGGGACGAATTGCATGGTTCACGTGCAATGTTTCGGGTGTGTTAGATTTTGGTTTCGAAACCGTTCTACCTCTGGCAGTCATGTGTCATGCTTAATTTCTTCAGAAGAGCGATCAAAACATTTCTATGTCATGATCCTCCTACTAATTATAATTGTATGATAATCTAATTGTTTTACTGGCCTTTGTCGACGGGTATTATACATTCTAAATGTAATCATTATTATTGAAAACATTTCTAGTCACTATGTGGCTGAAATGCTGCCGATATGTTTATTAATTTTAACTCACCAGCTCTTTGGAAGTCGTTTAGATGTTTTTGTTTGTGCAATAACTCTGTGTGACAGCGGTCTGTAAATAATCGCGTCTGGACCAGGCAATCCAGTGAGTGATCATGAGCATTGATCTAAGCTATCGATCAAGACTTTATTGTACAAAGAATAATAGTAATGCACATAACATATTTAGAAAGGAAGGAACAAGAGAAAATCAAATCATTCATTGTAAAGTGTAGTGACTTTACGGTCAAACGTTTGACCGTTTCATTCAAGATGTTTCACTGTGTACTTAATGGTATTATCACGAAGGCAGTCTTCGTTATCATCTTCGTGTCCTAATCATACCTAATTTAAGGTCAAACAGCTACTTTTACACTGACAGGTTAGGTCTAAATACTGTTCTGTATGGTAATCCTAATCTGTCAGAAGATATGAATTTGACAATAATACTTTATTAAATTTAATAATGATTTTTTTCGATTGAGTAAACGATTTTATTTAGTATCGTTATGTATAGCACATTAAGTAGTACTATTGCATCTAATTTATAACTTGGGGACAACAAATATTCATACAAAATATATAAAACAAAAGTCCAAAGATGAGCTGTTTAATTTTCTCAACAGGTATCACGAATGTGATTTCCAAGAGTAGTTATACTGTTACGAACGGTAATATGGATATTTGTTGAATATATATTTGGATGCTCTTGTGAGTAGATGCACTTAGCGAGAAAAACAATCCGTTATATTACATTTAAGATCTTAATTATCGAAAAGATCGTCTTGAGTTGGCGCCACCATTTTGTTTGAAGCAATGCAGGGTGATATGAGAAATGAAATATGATTGGTCAGAAGGCTGGGGAATAGAATGTTCATTACTCGTAGTCGCCAATGGTCGCGCTTAGGTCGAGCCCAGAAATTCCAGCTTCGTTCGGCAAGGGTGGAAACTGGACTTTTTAAAGTCAGGAAGATGCAAAGCAGTTGGGATACGATGACATGCATCTACAAAAGTCATCGAGTCTGACCACCAGATCCCGTTTGTGGCATCTTACGACAAGCATAGGTTGCTGAAGATTAATTCTAAACCGGATATTCACGTGTTTATGACTGCGGGACATTAATAGATGCCTGTATGTGTCAAATACAACGCATTGTATGAAATACAATTTCAACTTACAAGTTTCGATGAATATGCCACAAGTTTAGACAGTAATAATCCATCCTCGATGAACGGGAATCGGTTCTTGAGTTGTCTCATAGCTGTGTGTCGGGCGGCTAATAGTGCCACAAGTATGCATTCGCTTGCAGAGCCCTGAAAAATACATAATTATGATATTGATTTCGCAACAAAATCGTTATTAATGATTAATTAGCTTAACTAAAAACATTCCGCATGTATTTCTAGTACTATGTTGACCAAGGCTCTATATAAAAAAAATTAACCGTCGTCATATAGTTTGAATATTCCTAAGTGCGGCCTGAAAGAACAAACAAACAAACAAACTAAAAAACAATTGTCAGGTACAAGAAAGTGATAGTATGTCCAAAGATTATTAGCATCAGGAAAGACTGCAGAAATAAAGATTCACAAAGCTCATATTTTATATGATGCTATGAATAGATGTCGAATAATATGCCCTGCTTTCAATAATGTAATTTGGCTAATGGCCGACTGTTTGTATTTTTAAAAACATCCGATGATTAGACATCTCAGATATCGTATACCCAGCAGAACTTCTTAACAGTCTGTGATAATAATAGTGAACATTTTACCCATTACTATTAACCCATCCAATGATCCACCGTCAACAAGATGGTCAGTCCTTTTCTGACAAACTGAATAATAAAGCTAATGAAAGTAGTCCTAACTCCTATGCGAGCCCTCACATTCGTGAACCATGATTTAAGAATGACTGCACGATTGAAGGTGATGAAAACAAACACACCAAAACACTCACATAACAGCAACCAGTACACGTGCACGTCCATGACAAATAACAGTAAATGCGGGTATAAAATTGCATCTGCGGGTTCATTCCAGATGCAACTGAACTGCACTCTCGAAAGTTGAAAATGAGACTTTTTTTCATACTTTTATATCTTATTATATGCGTGAACCCACAATAATGACGCTGAATATACGCTTATTCGCTTATCCAAATTGAACTATAAATCCACTGTTTATGGTGGAGCCTGTAAGAGTAGCTTTTAGACGGATACCTTTATTCAGTAGTTTATACCACCGACACATAATAAACTGACGACCAAAAGAAACTTTCGCCTCTGTCTAGTTTAAAAACCACAACATATAGATGCATAAAGTAAAATGTATTGAAAAGATCAAAATCCCAACGCAATCATCATTTAAAATGACAGTCATACAGCATCCGATATTGGCATGACAGTTGTCCGAATTGATTTGGGGCTGGCAAAACAAGCTTTCAACGCAAATGACAAAGGGAACACGCATCTAAATTCGCTCAATTTCAATCACCCGTCACATGAATAGCATGTGTGACGACCCCCTGCTAAACTCAAGCGCACAGAAAAAGTCAGTCCTCTGATGACGCCTCGGTTGGCTAGAGGGTGTGGTCGCTGTCGAACACGACGGCCAAGGACATCCCAGAGGTGTTCTATGGGGGGACATGTCTGGGGAGCGTGCAGGCCAAGGCAACACGTTGACGTTGTTGGCTGCAAGGAAGTTCTGAACGATTCGGGCTGTATTGGGTCTGGCGTTGTCATGCTGATAAAGGACACTACAGCTGACAATGGGAATAAGAATGCCATCCATGTAACGCCGAACTGTCACATTTCCGTTAACGATGACAAGTGGTGTGCTCGCCTGCCCACTATGTCCTCCTCACACCATAACACCCCTTCCACCATACGGCACGACCTCCTGAACGCAACAGGTCAGTGTTCGTTCTTCCCTTTCGGCGGTAAACATGCTGTCTTCCATCAGTTCTGAACAGACAGGACCGGCTATCGTCAGTGAAGACGACCATCTGCCAGTCACGTCGCTGCCAACGATATACAGTCCGGGCCAACCTCAATCTATGTCAATAACAGTTACTGCCCTCTGAGTCAGGCATTCGTCGCTGATGACATTACTGTCTGGGAGTGATTCAAGTACCGTTCTTCTTTGGGCGTAGTTAACCAGGTCCTCATGTGTGCGCGGTCTGTCTGTAACGTTGCATCAGGTTAGTTACAGCAACACATGATCAACAAAAGGTTCTAGCAATGTGGGCATGAGTGGCTCCCAGCTGTAACATACCCAGGGCCCGCTCGCCGTTGTTCGGGTGTCAGTCATGGCATTTCTATGGGGATTTGTTTCATCATTGTGAGTGTCTGACATGCCATTCGTATCACTTATATACCCCCAATGCAGCGTAATTTCGGCTACTCAAGCGGCACATGTTTTCCCCCTTTTTCGCATTTCCTAAAACAACACGCACCGTGGACGTGTGCCACTTTCTGCATAGAGCGTTATTGTGTTTGGACGATGTGTTTTGTTTTGATTTAGTTTGAACTTTTGAACTGTTTTTATTTTTTTGTAATTTCATTTTCAAAGTGGTAAAGTTTCTTTTCGACGTCAGTTTACATAAAATGTAATAAAATATACAATAGCATACTATTGGGTTGAACATGTGTCCGACAAAGTGCAAAATCTTGTCTTTTTAACTTTCTCGGGTTACTTACAGAGTTATTTAAAAGGTATTTAACTCTCGCCTGCGAGTAGCGATTGCACCCCAACAATACATGTAATTCATCTTCAACATTATTTAAACATCGTAAGTAACACCACAGACTCTATCTTGGTACAGTGTTTGTGAGTAAGTATAATTTTACAAAGCTTTTAGCAATACTCCTGCAATATCACAGCGGGTGACACCAGAAATGGGCTTCACATATTGCACCCATGTAGGGAATCAAACCCGGGTCTTCGGCGTGACGAGCGAACGCTTCAACTACGAGGCTATTCCATCGGCACTGGTACAATGTTTGTATGCCTTCCACTATATCTACTGATGATCTAAAGTTGTCACATCTTAACATAGCTATAGGTTTCCTTTGTTGTACAGAAAGATTACCAGTAAGATATTTTTCAACATTAAGTGATGACTTGCACTGAGAGTAATAATGACATTTTGATGAAATTTCAATTAGGAGGAGTGCAATTATTGAATGAAGCAGTCATACAATCTTTGTTTAAAGGCTGACATGAACAGTGGTAATTGCCAATACCCTGACTCAGCCACACAAGACCAAATCCATACTGGAATAAAGTTGACCTGATTTGAGATATCCAAGATGTTTTCCCTTCATCATCAAGAGATTTCAGCATGATGTAAGACTGAAAGGGCAGTCTGTGTTTATCAAGATGAATAAGCCTTTTGCACCGGTACTTCTTTGCTCTGAATGTACAGTTATACTGCATGGGTACCCTACCACATTCCCCAAGTACCATTATTAGTGTACTTATGTATATTTACCACATTTAACCTATGTTTATTTACCACATTTAACCTATCTTGGTATTGAGTATGTGTGTGCCTACCACTTTTTTCTGATAATCTAAAGTTGTCACACCTAAACACAGCTTTAAGTTTCCTTTGATATACAGAAACGTTAATAGTATTGACTTAAACTCTGAGTAATAATGACACGAAACCTTAAGAAAATAGTTGCATTGAATGTAGCAGTAACTAAGTCTTTGGCCGATATGAACAGTTTAGTATTGCCAATGTCTTTACAAGGCTGACAAAATCAAATCGATACTGAAATGAAATTGACTTGATGTCAGATACCCAAGTGGTTTTACCTACATGTACATGTACATCCCAAGAGACTTGACCCAAGTGTTTTCATGATGAATATATCTACAACAGTACATAATTATATAGATAGTCTTAAACAATCGTAGGGAATAGTAAGAAATAACTAAACATTTAAAAAATTGTAAGATATATTAGTTCCACGTAACACTTGTATAATTATGATGAACTTGTTGGGAACGCATTACAATGGCTAGTGAAGTATGACAGTAGATATTATGACCCCCAACGATCTTGAAGGACGATAGGGAAAAGACGATAAGGTGGGAAATTGACGTTTTTGGATCAGAATACCAACACGACCGAGCTAACATTCATTCACTCGACAAATCATAAAACTGCACATGAGTCCGTCTCACTTCTCTTGCAGTTCCTGGTCACGTTCAGCCAACGTGGTCGGCGGCCTATGACGTTAACGCCCACGTCCCCTTATCATGTCCCAGACGAGTTCAATGGGGCAACGGTCTGGGGTCATTGTTGCCATGGCATTCTATGCATGCGCTGGTGGAGTGAGCACGGGCCTTGCCGCCGCGAAAGACAAAACGTCGACCCACACGCCTTCCGAATGGAACAAAAATGGGTGTCAGTATGTTGTCCGAATAGTACTGTCTAGTGACACTTCCTTGCACAATATAGAGTGGGGTTCGGTCAGTCATAGTAATGCTCACTCACTCACTCACCAAGCACCATATTATTATTTGAGTAGTTAAGACATATTAAAACATTTTGCCTTTGCTTGCAGGGCACAAATGTAATCTGTAGTTGAATAACTATGTATGCCTGTGTTTCAACAATAGCATTATTTTCTGACACTCTGATTAGTAGTCTTGGCGGTGGATTTGCCACTGATGTTAAAACTTTACAGGGTCCGTCCATCAGAGATAGTCTGCTGCAGTTGTTTTGTTCTTTGGTACTTCAAGATTCGGGGATGGGGCAAATTAAGTAATAAGTCACAATCAATAACTTTGATGAAAAGTCCAGTCTAAAGTGTGGTCGTATAAAAAAATATTGTATTAAAGAATTCATTTCCACGTCCATCAAGGCCACATTCAAGATATTTCAGGCAAGAGTTAATGTCACCATCTGTAAATGGATTCTTTAGCAGATTCCCGATATCTTCCAAGAGGAAATAAATTTACTGATAAATCTGGAGGGGCCTTGTCCTCACATGATTTAAGCTTTTCCAAAAGGCACTTGGGTCATTACTTGAGTTTGTCACACTGTTTCCCAAAATACAGGTCGTATCCAAGTTGCGTGGATCGATGCTCGTGATGTCAATCACTGGATTGTCTGGTTCAGACTCGAATATTTACAGACCGCCGTCATAGAGCTGGAATATTGCGGAGTGCGAACAAACATGAATGTTTCACTTCATTATCCCACCAAGGAGTTTGGATCGGAACACTGTGTGACATGTTTGTATTGTATATTCTATTGAACCGATCCGCCGCAGTATGAAATAATGATAATAAAGCTGTTCCACCTTGCTATACATCCATCTCAATAATATCACTAATAAAGTCACATTTTCAAGAAAGTATTGCTTTCTGTTTGCACACCAAGTGACCTTGACCCTAACACGGCTTGAGTAATGATCATCATCATCATTATCATTATCTGGGGTGGTGGGGTAGTGGGATAGTCTAGTGGATATAGCGTTCGCTCGTCACGCCAAAGACCCTACATGGGTACATTGTGTGAAACCTATGCCTGGTGCCCTCCGCCGTGATGTTTGCTGGAATATTGCTAACTCATGTTGTTTCTTATTACTCATTGTAATCGGAAAGTTATTGTGGAATGTCTGTAGAGAAAAAAAAGCGGGAAATGGTTCTCGTGTACACCAATGGCGGTAAAAAGTGGGAGGAGTTAAAAATATAGTCTACCCCACTGGCACCATTTGGTGTGACCCAAGTAAAATTATCAGCCTGGTCGTCAAATAGTCTACCATTCAAAGCATGGATCCCATTTGTTGCACAAAGTTCTGCTAATTTAACCCCAAGCTTATTATGCCCAACATTATCTATACTATTTTTTGTAATGTTAACTTGATCTACTGAATAATGATCACTATCGGTTTGAATAAAATCAAGGTTATCATATGCAATGGAATCCAGGCATGTCCGCATCCTTCCATTGAAATCACGGGCGACAAGTAGATGGTGATTAAGGTATGATTATATTTTGGGGCCTTTCGACAATCTCTTGACCGTCTCTATATGTAGGATAAAACCACACCTTATGAAATTAGGCTCTTTCATATATTACTAAATTGTCTTCCAACCCCAAAACCGGCATATATCTTTGACAGTTTCAAAAGGTCTGATGCAATAAAAGTAAATGGATGCTCATGGTTCAATTTTTACTTATGAATCCAAGTAGCAAGTGCCTGTGTTGTTGGATCACACATCATGCACTGAATTACCAGAAAATACCTCTATTTTCACTGCTGATGCTAAGCCTATTCTTAGAGCTTTGGTACATTTATCCATGTTAACAGTGTATAATCATACTGAAAAATGTATTTTCGACTCATCCAATTAGTTTAGATATTCTGGAATTATACAATGATCCGTCAGCTGGCCATTGACATATTCTGTTGTTGGTTCAAATCATGCCCTATCATCAAAACCTAATTGGAGAGATTGATTAATGTTGCAAAAAGAGACCTGCCATTGTTAACGTACTTGTTGCAAACAAAATTATATCACATACCTGAATTACACCGCCACCAATACCACTTTCATGCAGAAACATACTTGGCAGACCTATCATCTTTCCTGAAATGACAAAATTTAGAACTTTACAATTCATTACCACCAATATTTGGAAATTTATTAGATGAATATATTAATATCTCAATTAAGATCTAGATCAGAACCTAACTTAACTTCTTCTACTGTAGAATATATTGCCCACTATGGCTACTGTGATGACGACACACGTCAGTTTAGGTCGGAGGCCTAGGCGATCAATATGAACAAGCCAACACACGAATTTGGTGCCGACTATAGAATATGTCTTACATTCATACACAGAAATGCAAACATTTAATTGTTAGTGTTTCATCTACTATTTTATTCACTTCACTTCGAAGTGGACCAACCATTTCCACGAGAAGTGTACTGTGGTATGTGAAGTACTTGCCTTGCAATGAATACATCAATGCAGTATATACAAATGCTTTTGGATGTATGTGCTTGTCACCAGCACATACATCCAAAAGGAATGCAGGTCATCGAAGGTAAAAGCGTCCTGGTTGAATACAGACCAAGTCGTATGACCCAATGTCCAATTTGACACACGCTACCACTGTGTCATATACATCTACGTACAGGCACAACTAAACGTAGAGAAGTACAGACCCACATACACACACCGAGATGAAAGTGGTTGCCACACCTCAGTTGTCTCGGGAACTGTGTTTGGGACGAGTTGTATTTATATACATTGTGCTAAAATATAAATACATACATATATATATATATATATATATTTATGCTAAGTTACGTGCAGAGAGACTTGCTGAACATTGATGTTAACGTTTGTATTACTAATTTTGTCTTGGTTTGTAGGTATTTAATTGAATATTGACATACCGACCCAGTCAAGTGTTATTATTTCAAGTTCAGTGCATGCCGGGCTTGCAGCCTGAAACGCAAACACGATTCATTGTGTACATAAACATGTTTACTAAAAATAAGCATTTTAAGCATTAGAACATACATTGTATATGCACAGGGGCAAAGATAAATGGGGTCGTTTGATTGCTGATAATTGCACATCAGTGATACTACGGACTGAATGTCTTCACCAATATTAATATACTAAATATATGCACACAAACACATGCCGTTTGTATGTGTGCTAGGGTGACAAAGACAATCTCGCCTCAAATGCTCTGCCCCGTCCAAGCTGTTTAACATAATAACCAGACATTTCAACATTACTTTGTGAAGATTGTTGTTCAGATTCTTAATCTGCTGCTTGACAAAGGTACTAGCACCTGCACCCAAACATCGCACCAGTGTAAATAGAGTTGACATCCATACTAACTGCTTGTTACGTAATTTGTTTACAAATTCATATTCTGTTGTCTGAAGAATAGACGTATTCTTCATCCTAGTTTTACTCAAGTATAACTTAAATCTTGAAATTGAAATAACTTCACGATTTAAAGTAGATATCAAATGTGAGTTAGTTGCTTGTGAAGAGAGTAAATTTACCACCTGTTTTACGTACAGTACCTGTACTGTGCAACATTTCTTTGATGAACTCTTTACTTGATGTTACATAGTTAAATTGAGTAACCTAAGCCATGACAATGCAATGATGTTGAACATCGATACCCATGAGAATCCAATGCAGCCAATAGCTGCAGACAACATGTCCCCAAGTATAGACGGATAGGAGTTTCCAGCGGGGAAGTAAGCATGGAAGTTTGGATGCTGCCAGTGTGTAATCTGAAATGTGATAATAAATTGGTATTAATGCAACATCATATTATGCCAACAAACTAAAAGACGCTCCTCGTGTGGTTCTATCGGCATTGATAGTTAAACATTTTTTCTACAAATATTAAGGTCTATATTCACGAATAGAAAACTAGAAACTACATGGCATCAGTATATGAAAGCTATATACATAAGCTTGATATTTCCACGATTCAACCTTTAGATTAGAATTACCTATATTAAATTGCATAATCGATCAACTATTGACCAATGCCAGAGTTCGTGATAGAAATTATTATATTATTGATGATTACTCAGGTATGTGTGATATTGATTCGTTTAGCGTCACAAGAAAATGTTGGATTATCCCTTTTGGAATTTTGTAAATGGCTTGCATGTTGTAAAGGGGCATAAAGCTGGAGAAAAACATTGCCTTGTATGTGTTTGTATCTTCCTGTATGTTTGATTAGGTGTTTGACTTAGTTGTGCTTTTATGGACAGAATCTAATCATCTCCCTGTTATATGTGAGATAGCTATGCCCAGAGTGTATGGTTCATGTACTATGTTTACCCAATAATAATCGCTTGAACTGAAGTAGTTACGTAGCACTTTCTAGATCCATTTGTAGGTAATCCTTTCTTATGAAGAAGATATTCTATATTGTCCATCACATGAAATCACAACTTCCCGTTGTAGATAAATGCAATTATAAGTGGTGTAGCTCAAATTTTTGTGGATATCCTGGAGACATATTGTGCAACTGCTTTACTTAAATTTAAGGAAATTATGTAAGATGTCGTTTTGTAACGGCGGGGGACATTGTCAAACTGTGACAAATATTTGTATAGTTTGTATTGATTTCACAGTATGCACTGTGTAATATATTGACACATGTTCTATCAGTAATACATTGAGTTTGGGGCAAGTTTAGAAGGTATTCAGTTATGTGATTGTGATTTGTGAAAGTGACTGTCAAGTTTAGTATAGATTAGTGTACGTTAGGTTAGTTTTGGAATCTATTTAATTAAGTTGTATATCAAGGATAGTTCTATTATTTATGTTATTTACGCTAAATAATATCATGTTCGGAGGTCGGATATTGATAAATTAAAATAATTAAGGTTACCAGTAATATTTTGTATTTGAGAATTTGCCAGAGTAAAACATGCAGTTCATTTTATATTTTGATAGACATCTGGATTGAAGAACTCACATGAATTGACTGAATTCACCTAGTTGTTGTATTGTGTAAAGGTTATTCAAAAACTTTGTCTTCAGACGCTGACGAAATGAAAGTTCTTGTGCTGAGACCTTACCGGACATAGTTGTAATACCAAAGGCTGATAACCCAGAGGTTTGGAATCAGTAGTTGGCAGAAAACTTTGCTTCTCAAAATTTCAAAAGAGGAAAAGGGAAATCGGAAATATCCATATTTCAAAAGCCTATCTTTTTAACCTTACAGGCTGTTAATAACACGTTAACGTATTCGTACATAAACCGCTCATTGTATCTCCTTATGTGCCAAACAAAGTCCACACATACCCCTGGCATTATCGCACGTTCTACGTCTTTCATGATGACTGTAAAATCCTCCCCTTTTCTGGGGGCTCTAGATGGAAGTAGCTCACGTAGGTAGCCCGGCTCCACTTCTGGTGTCACTCTCCTCAATGACAAAGTGTCCATGTAATCAGCAATATAGTCCACCATCTCCTTCCCTCGATCTCTAAACTCCGACGAATCCATGTGTCTGAAAGATGCATACACCAAGTAAAAGCATCTTTTTACACCACTGTATTTACATTAACATTATTTGGTGACAACCCCTTTCATAAACAAACATATTAATAGTGATAACTAATTATCTCACAATCAATAGTTGTTACTATCCAGACTCGATTATTTACAGACCGCCGTCATACAGTTGAAATACTGCTGAGTGCGGAGTTAAACAACAAACAAACAATCAGGCAAAACTTATATAAGGTACAGCTAGCCTTCCAGAAAATGCTGCCTCAAAACGTCTCGATAAACGTATATGTAGTTTTCTGGAAGTTGATAACTGTCAAACCCCAAAAGAGGCCACTGAAACACAATAAAGAAGAACGATTCCTTTCTTTCATTGGCTGTAATGCTGTTACCCATGCCTCCATGTTCGAAAGGATTGGTGTTTTTGCCTTGGCTAGACCTAGGTGTATCTCACGCGCAACAGCAAAGGTTGGATGCATTTAACCAGATAATTTGAGGGGAGAAGATTTTGGAAGCCCTCAATCCAATATTGCATGCACTGGGCTTCTTTCCAACTTTTACCCCTTTGCTAGTATAAATACCCTAATCATGCTTTTTACACCTGGTGTGATCGCTGAGTTTCAGTATTCAATTCATACAATTTTCACTGCTCTTTTCCATATTACGCCAATGTTTTAGCTGATAAACAAGGTTATCCTCTTGCGTTGACTTTTTATGCAAAAAGGTTTGTTTGCTTGCTTGTTTGTTTGTTGTTTAACGCCTCACTCACCAATATTCCTGCTATATATGACTGCGGTCTGTAAATAATCGAGTCTGGACCCCACAATCCTGTGACTGATATCATGAGCATCGATCCACGCAATTGGGATACAATGACATACATCAACCAAGTCAGCGAGTCTGACCATCCGATCCCGTTAGTCGTCTCTTTCGACAAGCAAAGTCGCCTCTGGAATATTGCTGAGTGTAGCGTTAAACAAACAAACAAACAAGCAAAACAAATATCAACGTTGTCAACCTTTCCACAAAACCATAATAGGGCCACAACATCGGAGATGGTATTAGTAATAATCAATCGATGATCCACTCCGGTGCTACACGTGCCAAGTATTTGGACAAGGATCCAAGTCCCGCCATGCATCTGCTTCATAAAGAACGTGAAGTTCGCAAACTGGAGTAGGAACCATATGACCCCTTCAAAGTCCTGTCCTGCGTAGCAACGTAAATATCAAATCTTGAAGATCAAACATGAACAGAATATCTCCTTCCAAGAAGCTAAGAAAAGGGTTGCAGGTCTGACTCATCTGACAAGGGCCAAGCCAATCTCTTCCTACCGCTTCACTAGCAATACCAGCTGTGACACCAGAGCAGCTGCAAACACCATCACCAAAGGCCACCCCTACTTTAGAGATCTCCATAGGGGTCCATAGCTCCTTTGGTCCTCTGGACATGGAGGTAACTCCATCTCCACAGGATACAAATAGGAGTACTACAAAGTCTTCCTCACTTTCGCGTGATATATCTCCCGTGAAAGCACCGCCATTAATCTACAAAACATTATACAAAGGAATTGCAGATGTCTTGAGAATAAATCAAATGACAAACAGCTATTAATTCCTGATTTCAAACCGCCAGCGTTTACATCTCCAAGAAACTTACATAAAAATACAGATCAAATGGACATCCGTCAGTTCAGACAGCTCTTACCATTCATTTTTCCCTCCCGGTCATAAAGCTATAGGAGGTTCTATTCTGGTGATGCAGGGCGTAATTCAAGGGTCGAAGGATGGTGGCAAAGTTGCGAGTGCCACTGTCACTGGATCCAAAACTGTTTCCTCAAGAATCCCAGATACTAAAGTACTGTCGGAAATGCTAGAAAACTGCTTTTCTGGCTTCATTTAATAAATACGAGTCATAGGACTATAACAAAGAGCATGTATCAAAATAACGCAAATTGTCTTAATCTAGCCTGTCCTAACTGACACTGTGATTACCCCTAAAATGTACTTTTACAGGTAAAATGATGATCAACTTTTCGTGTGTTGTCATGCATGTATGAAAGGGCCTATAACCTATGGTAATGACCGAACACCTGTCCCGAGGTGATTACCTCACACCGTCCCATGCATTCTCACGGGTGCAAATGACACCGAGTTGGGGGTGGTCTCAAACCATTGCTGTCATTGTACTCTACTGACATGTGCGTTGTAATTGAGGATATGTACTGCATGGATGAGTATTGGAAGGTTGCGGTTTTGGAATCCAGAAGTATTTGTTGTTCTATAGATGATTTCTTGAAGTAGCATTTATCTCCGCCGATGACGTATATGAATATGTACTTTTGAATGTTGTGTTATGTGTTTCCAGGAACCCTTTACTTTTAGCCAAGATGGGCACAACAGGATTGAGCTCACAATGTCTGACTGGCGAACGTAAGACAACGTGACCGTGTTGTGCCGCCAGCACATACATGTATGTCCTGTACTTTACAGAGCTCTTATTCAGCCGAATTTTCTCCATGAGTTGAACTTTCGTTTCATATGGTCTGAAGTCGACAATGTCATATATTCCTGTATGGTCGCCTTCAGACTTCTCATGGTTTGGGCGACAGTATCTGATTCCCGGACGTTATATTAACTGGCGTTATCTATGACAATGACACTGACGTTGTTTAAAATGGGCAATAGCTGAAATTCCAACCAGTCTATGAACACATCACCTCCTATAATTTCCTTATGAAAATAAACAGTTTTCTTTTCCGCCTCGAAAACTATTACATATCCATCAATAAGCCCCATATCATGGGTTCCAGCGTGCAAAACAATGACACGATTACCTTTACCTGATGGTCTGTGGATGCTTTTTGTCCATCTGCCGATAGCCACATGTCGGCAGTGGAATGATTCATCAAGGTAAATTATCTGGACGCCCTGACTGTGATAGTTATGAATGGTTCGGAGATAATGTGATCTCATAGACAGGATGGAATATCTTCCCTGAAAAGTGCTCGGTCATCGACACGAGCAGTGTATCGAAATCACATCTCTTGGAGGGCAATTGTAAGTGCAGTTAACATTAATTGTATCTTTAATTCCTCCCAAATTCTACTACAAGTCAGGGTTACCTTCTGCTCATAAAGCTTGTACACTATACACACCTAATCTCCCAGTATCAAAGCTGTCTAATAACCTTTTACGTCCAAGTTTTGTTTTTGAGACCATCCCTATACATGTTTTGTTTACTAATCGTGGTATGAATTGAAAGCCATATAGCTTGGGCAGTTCGGTAATTCATCCTATCTAAATAAATAAATATTTTCCCTCTAACTCTCTAAAGTGTAAAGAACTTTTATACAGTTCCCAATACAGACTTCATATCGTGTACCATGGTTATAGCAATGCAAGTGTAATGTAACATACATCACGGGAGCAATGTTAACAAAATAAACGCAGCGTCATTTTGTCGTTTTAGAAGATGCACATCTGGAATTTTCTCAAAATGACTTTTGTTTGTGGATTAGATGTTTTATGAAGACTACATTATTATCACTATAACGGCGTCAAGTGCGCATATTTCTATAGGCCGTTTCAGACTGCCATCATTTGACAAAAAAATAAATGTAAACTTCCTGTTTTCGGTAGAATTTGTCTCCTCTAAACTGGTCGATAGGACTCTTTGTGACTGAAATAATTCTAACCATAGGTAGGTCGATCGGTAGTTACTCGATATTTCAATTACAACAGTCTGTGAAAAATTATATCCTTTATTAACAGGCAAAAAGCATTTTTCTAGCATTCCCGACAATACTTTAGTTCCATCTTTACTACTGGGGCCAAAGTTATCGTAACGACTTTGACCTATATTAAACAACAAAATCAATGTAACAATTTCAGCATATTTTCAGATCCATTGTTTGGCCAACAATCGGTCATACCTTCTTGGGTTTTCAGTAAAGACATGATGAAGTCGTTTTGCCACGAAGTATTGGCCACAGTCAGTTTACGAATATCTGCTCAAACCCGATGAGGTCGAACCTCCTAAGTGTATCGCTTGTGATGAAAGATTCACCGTCAAGCATATATTGCTTGATCGTGTAAGACTTTGCATTTGCAAGGGATTCAGGAAACAGTAAATCTGAAAGATTTTTCCCCCGTGTTAGCGGGCATCTGATTCTTTGAAATTCTCGTAAATTTGTAATATGTATGTGATTAACTAATTGCTTGCTTGTAGATTTCGTGTGATGCTTTTACCGACAAAGATTATTGAAGGCTCTGCCCAGCAGGTTAAAGTACCGTAAAATGATTGTCCCCCACCCCTGTGTGTGACATGTAATTAAACTGGGCGGCAAAAGAATGTATAGGTCGAGTTCCATGATCAATAAAAAAATAACACGAAGAGATTTTGTTGTAAATTAAAATATAATCTAGGAAGGTGTAACACATGATTGATCAACCACAGTTTGAATGAAATTGTGCAATCACAGGTAATGTAAGCTCAAGGTGGGGTAAGAAATTTCATTTTCAAAAGTTGTCTGAAATGTCACCAAAACATTGTCAGACACACTACAAGTTCATTGTCGACACAGTTGCCTTCAATAGCGTGTATGACCTCCAGCTGCCTCAATGCAAGCTGTAATACGCCGCCTCATCGATGACGTCAGTCTTTTGATGACGTGGCCTGGAATCCGTTGCCACTCGTCTCTCAGGGCCTGCTGCAATACTTGTCTGTTGATTTAAACATATTTTATTCAGATTGAAATGGATTTGGAACAAGTTATCCAACTTAGGACTCCCTCTCCATGGTATTTACAAAGCGTGTACAGTAAATCACATACAAGGAAAACAGAAAAGAAGTGAGTGTAAAGATAACAAGAAATGTACAAAAGAGAGAGACTAGTATATGTACATTAAAGTGTTACCCAAATCTCTTTGTATGACTTATAAACATTTGCACTGCTTTAAAGATGTGTTGATTTTCCATAATGGACAAACATTCATTTCC